TGTGTTACGGTGTGTTTGATTCTAACTTAATTTTACACCGGAATATCCCTTTAATTCACCACTGTACAAAAGGAGCAGGGGGTAAACAGGGGGCAGGAGATGGTTTAAGCCCTGAGCCTTCTTGGTAGGTGAATACGGCCCTGAATCTGTGTGAATCCACAGTGAACTGAAGTGAACCTAAAATAAGTGACAGCTGCTGCTCACAGTAGAGTGATGCTAATGAATGGCACCTTTACCACCATATACATACATGCATCCACACATAACACGGCATGTCATATCAAAACCAGTGAGTATTACTCAGCTTAGGAGTTTTTATAGTTCATTGAGGCTTTACCATGTCTGTCAGAGGTATGTTCAAGATTCTGCTGCTAAAATTAAATATACCAAAAAACCAAATACCTCTATATGACTGAAACATTTTTTTAAATTTAGTGGGGAAAATTAAACCAAATTTACCCTCAAACTGTGTGGAAATTTATGAATTTATGAATTATTCGAGACAGATGTCATTCATTCATTCATCCATTCAATCATTCATTTATTCATTTAATGTCTCCTCGTCTGGTCCCTTTGTTAGCCTATTATTAATGTTAAACTTTCAATTGTTTAAACCATCAATGTGATTTATTCCGGATCGTTACCGGATAACTGACAGATGTAAACAGGTGTACTCACGGGTCCCGTCGAAGCGCGTGGCGATAGTGTCCAGGAAGGTGTTCTGCGGCGCAATCAGACCCCGCATCACCGGCATGCGGGATCGGGTGGACCCGCGTCTCTCCCTCCGCTCCGAGCCGCCATGACCGTCCCCGGAGGTCGACACGAAGCCCGGCAGGAACCGGGACGAGCTTCCCGGCGCTCCTCCCAAACCCTGCAGGAGGGCGCCGAGCCGAGACACCCGAGACTCCAGGGTCCACCTGAGTCCAGAGACCGAGGAACTGCGAGGAGCCGGGTCCGACAGAGACCACAGCCCGCCGGGGGAGGAGATCCAGAAAGGTGGACCGGACTGAGATGAGGAGGGAGAAGGTGCTGGAGACGGAGGGGAGCGGCGCTTTGGTCACATTTACGCACGAGTGTGCTGCAATGTGCCCCCTCTCTCCTCCCCCACGGGTTCCCCCTCTCCCTCCTTTTTTCACTCCTTTCCCATACTTACTCCTCTCCCCTCCCCTCTAGTGATGAATAAAGTGTGTATTGTGTGTTTGTTATCAGAGCTGAGCGTGTAAACGTGTCAGAACTAAATGAATGACCAGCACAGGTTTGTTTTTAAGAAAAATCACATTGAAGATAACATGAAATGCTGTCTATCAGGAGCCCCAGGTAGTCTACAGGTGAACTGACCCCCACACCTGAAAGTGATGACCCCACCCCTAAAATGTGGAGCTACTCTTAAGAGGAGGAGGAAAGAGGGAGAGGAAGATTAGGCTGGTAAAAATGATTTCATCAATCACTTTAAACACACAGAGATTACTTTTCTCTTTCAGACCCAGAGATGAAGATCCGATTTTAAAACGTTTCATTCACAGAGAGATTCAGACCACGTGGAGTAAAATAAAGGTCAGAGCGCCATCTACTGGACACTGAGCTCAGGTGCAGCAGAGTCACTCTATAATTAGGGGTACATGTCATGTCCATGGACTGTATTTATCAATTTTACCAAATATTAACTTTGACCAATGATCAATTTTATATCAGGGCACATTTCTCTTTTATTCAATACAAAAAGTTCAAAATATATCATCTTTCTTTTTGCAATAAATACATGTATTATACTGGAATTTGTTGGTTTTATGCTCTCCGATTTTCTCAATGTCAGGTTTAGCTCTTCAGATTAACATTAAATTAAATATTTTTGTACAAAATTTTTGTAAATATTTGTTCAAAATAATCACTAAAATATGAGAAAGTTGTTTAAAAATCAATTTAGCTCATTCATACACATTAAATCATCCTCTTTGTGTGTGTCCGAGAAACTTTTGTCAACTGTGTTACCCATAAGTCAGCAATTGTTTGCTCCTAAGTAACATATTCACATCATTTGATGTCAAATCCTTTTTGGAGGAAAATTTAAAACACAGTGAGGCAAGTCTTTACTTCCACTCTTCAATATTTTATCAATATCATTGTGAACACATAGAGCAGCTTAATTGATTGTCAACTGTGTTGTCAGCATATTCATGGGAACTTGTTTTAAATATTTAATTTACAAAAATGTAGATAAAAACAGGAGTTGATTAAGGTCTTACAGTGACAGTTCTGAGGTCTGCAGTTAGCAAAAGGCCCTAAAATGGCCGAAATGTCAACTGTGTTACTCATCAGCTGTAACACAGTTGACAGTGTTTGAAGTTTACTGCCACATTTTATGTTTATATTTAGAGACAAACATGATGATTTGTGTTTTAGGAAGATGGGTTTATCTGCTACAGAGAAGCAGCACCAGTACAGTGCTCGGCGTGCACCATAGAAACATCTAGTTTATTTATCAAAAAAGAATACTGATATTTTGAGTTTTTGGTTGACTTGAAATGTACCCCTAATTGTAGAATGACTCAGCAACAGCTGAGGTGATGAAGGGGGCACACAGTGAAAACAGCAAATATTTCCATGAAAATATCATAGAAATCATTTTCTTCTTAGATTCTGCGGTTAGTTTATCAATTTTTCTTATTTAATCTAAAAAAGTTTCTAAGTTAACAGATATTATGCCTTTATGACATTTTACTCATCCAATGTGCAAAGTCTAGTTCATAATCTGTTTAAAACTATCAGATTTGGTGAAATGGGTGTGTTACTTTGAGAGTTGGCATATCAACCTCATTAAAAATTAACAGTATTTATGTTTGTACTAAAAATAATGTACAAAAAGTCAACAAATAAAACGTGCATAATATGAGGGTTTTGTAGGACTTGAACATCTTTATTTATAGGTTTATATATATATATATATATATATATATATATATATCAGTCCATAAGTAGAGACACAACAGAATTAGCTCGTTATTAGGCCATTACAGAGCTTAATAACGAACTGATCATTTGAATCAGGTGTGCTGGAGCAGGGAAACATCCAAAACATGCAGGACAGTGGGCCTCGAGGACTGGACTTGAGAACCACTGACTTAAATAACACTAATAAACTTAAAATACATCATATTCACAGACTCATCCCTTAAAGTTTAGTAACATACTAAAAGCTAATATTAGCTACAGTTTAACTGTCAAACTTTCATAAAAAGTACCACAAACAAAGACATTTTAAGTCCACACATCAATATATATTATTGAGGAGTGTTGCACTTATTCAGTCTGACTCCTAGAAGCACCTCTCTTTGACTGACCACTTAGAAAGCTGCAAACTACATATATATATATAGATATGTATGATTGATAAACACAGAAACAATATAAATATGTCATCTCTAAAGAGGATCAATCCTTAAAATTAAGTCTGAACTGAAGACAGACGGCAGCTCTGCTTGTCTTTAAGCGACTTTGGAATTTCCAAATTCACCCTGCTAAAAATAAAATAGTGCTGCGTCATTAAATCTGGCTCTTCCTTTTTTTTTTAAAGTGGTCCTCTGACAGTCTGATATTCATAGTGAAAGTTAAATCAAAGAATAAATGTCTTCTTCTGCTCATTATTAGGAGTTTTGACACCCTGTTCTTTCCATTTGAACTGAAGAGAAGTAGGAAATCCAAACACATGCTATGCATAAGTATCTACAGATCACTCCACAGTCATACAGGCTGTATGTTCTTGCTTGAGTTTTTAGGGTTTCATCTCCTCTCAGGTTAACAACCCAGACTAAAACTGCTCCTGATAGTGAACTTCCCTTGCTTACTCTAGAAGGACAACTATCTGCTAGGATGGGTTGAGTTAATTTAAAGACTAAAGCCAAAAAATCTGTGCATGTGTCCAGCTTTAAATCTGAAGGACATTAGTTCCCTTCCTTTCACCGAACTTTGGTGCTTTTTTGTTCTTGCTCCTTGCCATGTTTGCCACTTCCGTACGTGCTTTGCACTCATACATAAACCTAATGCACTAAAAAAATCCAGATTATACCATATACACAATTTAATTTTAATGGATTATTGGGAAAAAGCCTAAATGTGTTTCCTCTGTTTTTATAATCTCATTATGGTATTTGTTCATTCGAGAATATTGGATCACGCTGTTACCATGACTACTTGAGGAATCAGCTAAGAAAAACGGAAAATGATTGGTTTACCAAATAAAATACCAAATAACTCTTTATAAAAGAGATCATAAGGCTGACTGGCAGCTACCAGATATGAGAACTTTGGACAGGAAGTCCAAACAGTCTCCAAAAGTGAAACCAAAAACACATGGTGTCCCCCCCGGTGATTGGCAGTGCCCATTTCAGGATGTTTTGGCCTCACTTTCTGGGTCTGTGGAGGTGCCAGTCCATCTCCCTACACTGGCGTCAGTCTGAAATGATTAGTTTTCAGACTGCAGTGGACACAGGTACGCTGAAGCGTTCAGTTTGACCCCATATCCAAACCCAGCGTAGAGAGGTCCAGTGAATGTGGTGTTGAAGGTGTGGAGGTGGGTCAGAGTGTCAGAGGAGACACTATAGAAAGACAGAGTGCCAGCAGGACAGTCCACATACACCCCCACCCTGTGAGAGACGGAAGACGAGGGGAGAGGGATGAGCGTCCCGCTGTTATCATGCCAGGCGTTGTATCCTCCATCAGTGCAGGTCAGACTCCAGGACTGATCATTCCCTCCGAACTTAGAGCCGTCACTGTCTCCTTTCCTCCCCATCCCTCTGTAACCCACAGCAACATAGACCTTTCCCACCCACTCCACCTCCCAGTAACAGCGTCCAGTCAAAGAGTCCTCACTCAGTACCTGAGGCCAGTAGTCAAACCTCTCAGGGTGATCAGGGTACGGGTGCTCCTTCCTCAGATCTGTCACCTTTCTGTTGTTTTCAGAGAGTCTGAGGAATTTGTGGACCGTGTTTGGGTCGAGTGTGAGTTCACAGAAATCTAAAATAAAAAAAAGGAGAACTTTGTGTCATTGACTGAGTTTTTTTAGGTCAATCATTTCGCTTAAAACATAACTCTTCTCTCTCACTTTTCAGAATATTCCCCCTGTTTTTTCACAGTGATTTCTCAATTATGAGACAGTGTTGGTTCTTTTTTTTCAGGAAATCCAGCTTAGGCATACTTACACTTCCTCAAACCTGGTCTCAACCACTGTGTCCCACTCGGGCTCAATCTGAAAGACAGAGAAAGAGAGAGATTAACTTGAAAAGGTCTGAAAAAGTCAGACTGCCAAGTTCTCTTTTACATTTCATAAATCTGGCTGAAGATCCTCAACAATATGTTTGCATACATTTAAGTGTCCAGACTCATTTCAGAATCCTCCAATCCAGCAGAAAGCTGTTTCACACCCGATTCCCCTGGATGGTTGTAGCTCAGGTCCAGCTCTCTCAGGTGTGAGGGATTTGAACTCAGAGCTGAGGCCAAAGAAACACAGCCTTCATCTGTGATCAGACACCCTGACAGTCTGCAGACACAAAACAATAACCAGTGGCTTATTAGGCAAATATTCATCAATATAGCACCAAATAACATGACTTGTTACTCAAAGAGTAGATCCGGTTCAAAGTATTTGAATTATGTAGGAGCAAAGAAAAACATCTATTGGCAGTCTCTAAAAAGATCCCTGGAAGTCAAATAACTTTTCAGCTAAAATTATGTTGCAAACATGATCAGAGGACATCAAGGATTATGAAAAAATGATAAAAATGGGTATGAAATTTTGGTGGCAGGTCCCCTTTAAAATATTCTTTTTTGACTGGTAGAATTCCACTTGAAATGAATGACTGTCATGTTTAGTGATGGTTTTGAGCTGTATAGTTAAAAATAGTTTGAATTTCTATGTTAAAAATTCAGAGTAAGAAACATCTGCATTTCCTTTTTCTACAACAATTTTGCTACAATAAAGCATATGAAAGACATTTTAAATATTCTTGTTTGACTAGTTTCATTCCGCTTGAAATGACGGGAAAATGCATAATTTAGTGTTGAATAACGTGCCAGGCATGTGCACCCCCTCTGATCTGAGATGCACCCCTAGTCATCATTTTCTAGACCCGGCCCTGGCCTAGCCCGATGCGTTTTCTTGTCAATCAGGACAAGTGAAGTAAGAGGACAACATTTATTTCACAACCAGCATTACAAATAGCCTAGATGTAGGAAATGACGTGTGTGGTGCGTTTCCTGTGATTGGTGTGGATGACGCTCACACCAGAAATGGACCGTTCCAGAGTTCACTTGATAGCGGTCCGAGACCACCTCTTCAGGCGGACCAGAGTTCGTTTATTTGGTCCGCACCAGAGTTCGAGGTTAGCGTTCACACCGACCCAAACGAACCGCACTAAGGGGGTAAATACTCCAGTGTTCGGTTCAACCAGACTAAACGAAGGTGGTGTGAACGCGCCCTAAGTATAACCCGTTGTTATAAACCTTACTATCTCACGATTGTCTCAAAAATCACTCATTTCTGCAGCACTGTTTGACCTTGTGCAGAAGTATGTTCATGTCTGCTTTTCTTCTGTCTGCTGTGTGTGTGTGAGAGTTTAAAGAGTTTAAATCTCAAGTTTTGTGTTGAGAGTTTAGAGTAAGCAGCTTTAATCTCTCACTGAGGATCTACTTTAGCATCCCGTGTCATTTCTCATGTTTTTACTTTCATTTCTACACAAACAACGAAAAGCGCCCTCCAAAAAAGTAAGAGGAACTTTATCCCTCCATCATCTTGATCCTTCAGGCCCTCACACTTTCCACTGATTTACCTGCCTTCACTTTTAATCCATCATCAGTGAGCTCATTTATCAGATTAACCAGATGAATTATCCGCTAACTGTTGCTTACTTCAATGATGGAGCTACAACAGAAAATAAAGCGAGCAGAATGGAGGATTTTAGGAAAACAGGGAAGATTTAACTTTTCACAGACGTGTGTGTATATATGTGTTCGCTCACCACGCTGATGTTGAAGGCGTACAAGAGGTCAAAGGGCAGAGCAGCCATCAGGTCCACAAACAGCCAGGAAGTGACGTAATGAACGCAGATGGAGCGAGAGTCGTATACCACCTGACCTGATGAGCTCACAAAGGTCGTACGAAAGTTCAACACGATGTCTGAAACATAAACACAAACACAGCAGACACGTCTGTTCACTAAAGGAACCAAATTTGATAGGATGTCTGAGGCACAAAAAATAAATAGTACATATTTAAGCTGCTTTATCCTGCCGACCCACTTCTTCTGCAAATGGCCTTGCTGCTGCTCTCCCCACCTTTTTTTATGTGCTTGTTGTGACTGATGTTAGAGTCTTATGGTTTGGCACTGATGCTGCTCTGTTCTGTACCCCTCAGGATCTTTGCTGCTGCTCTCCCTGTCTTGATTTTTCATGAAAGCACATGAAACAAGATGGCAGGTGTGCTTTTCCTGCCTCAGGCTTTAGCACTCCACATTTACAAGTGGAAGGGCAGGAAGCTCTCAGAATAGAGCCATACTGCTGATTCCCCCTCAGGATCTTTGCTGCTGCTCTCCCTGCCTTGATTTTTCATCTGTGCACATGAAACAAAGTGGAGATGTGATCTGCCTGCTATAGGTTTCTCCACATTTGCAGTTGCTTTCCCAACAGAACCATCATTACTTCTTGCATGAAAAAAAATTTCTCGACTTAACTGGTTCTAAGTGGCACATATTCAAATAAGAATAAAATATTCATAATGAGAACAAAAAATAAAATAATCTACATTCACAATAAACCCATTTCTCCACTGATTCCCACTTTTTTGTATTGGGTGTTAGTGTTTTAAAGATTGATGATTGTTCCTGTTTTTTTTTCCAAGAGATCCTCATACCTGTTTTTTTCTATAACCTGTTACCTGGGCAGTAGCTGTGAGCTCCTCTGAGCTGGAAACTATTAGAAAAACATCAATGCTACTGCAGAAAACTCAAACCCCAGCAACAAATGTGCAGATAAAGATCATGAAGTAACTACTCCTCTCTCAGGAGCATTTGTTTATTAACTCTCAGCAGCTCCAGAAACTACTGACCCTCCAGAGAAAATCACTGCGCTCTCTTTTAAGGATTTACTTTTAAGTTAGGAGGACCTCGTCTGAAATCTGAAGCTGTGATTGAAGGTAAACACACATAAATCAAAGTGATAAACTCTGTGGGTTCATCCTCACCCATGATGAAGAGGATCTCCACCAGGATATCACTCACACTGGGAGGGTTTCTAGCCGCAGACCCTCCATCTTCTCTGACCTCCACCGTTGCAAAGCAGACGTTATACGGCACTGTCACTGCCACGTAGAAAGTTGCCAGCAGAATCAGCCAGTCCCAGCCAGCCTTGAACGCGCCGTAGTGAAGCAAGATGAAGCGGGACTTCTGGATGTCGGCCACCTTGTACTCTGGGATTGGGGTTGCATTGGCTCCAAGAACACTCTGTGATAAATAATACTTGAACTGATCAGATATGCTGAGCCTTGCTGCTATTCTCTGAGAGAGATCATAAAAGAAGAGACACTCGACCTCTAAATATGTCTGCAAAACAAAAAGTCATTTCTTGGCTCATCACATCCCAACAACAACATCAGTTACTTAAATAGAGGCTCCCTGTTCATTCAGGTTGTTTTGCATTTCACTGTAAAAGGGTCATTCCATGAAATTGGTGCCTTTTGTGTCCCCAAGAACTAATCATTCATAAAATTATAACAACAAATTAATATGTAATTTAAAAATATAACACGACCATGTCTGCTCTCCTTAATACAACATCAAATTAAAGTCAATTAAATAACATTTAAAATAATATAAATTACTTTTATGCTGATGAGGGTGAGGTTTTTGGCCTGTTCCTCACTACTATTGCTGTACGTATATAGGACCAATATTTACCAATTTATCGGCATCCCCTGATTTCATGTCAACCCTGTTACCCTAACTAAAAAACCCTTAAAATATTAATGGTACATTCCAGATTTGGCATGATTGACAGGAGGTTACATCCTCTCTGAGCCAGGATGCTAACAGCTCAGTGACAATAAAGTTTCTCTCATCTCTGATGTGCTATTTTTGATGTTTTTTCAAAGTTTAACCCGGGGAGACAAGCATACAACGTCAACCCTGTTACCACTTTTTAACGTATAAACCAAAACAATTTTCTATTTCTCAAAATATAATTAATATCTACAAGTAATTACCTTTCAAAGTACCTAGCTTGCACTTTAGCTAGCACTTATTTAAGCTATCCACAGGTAGCTTAGCTTAAAATGGTCAACCCTGCTACTGTCAACACTGTTACCTTTCCACAGTAACAGGATTTGACATGTGAGTCACAGGGATGACATAGAATAGTGTTTACCCTCGTTGTACTCTCTTTAAAGGTTAACTTTTCAAATTAAGACATTTTTAGGTCATCAAGTGAACATTATTGAGCTAATAATTATTTTTTGATCGATTGATTGATGCGCCAATGGAGAGCCAGTTACTGAGTGTCCAGTTACTTTTACTCTTGTCAGCCCTGTTACCATGACGTCAATCCTGTTGTTGTCATTAATTTGATAAAAATGTAAAAAATGACAACTCAAATAGGCTTTCAACACTTACCATTATAGTTTATATTACATCAAATTTTAGATTGGGCCATTGTTCAACATTTCTCTTCTAAAAAATATCTGATATATGTTGAGACATGTGATCGCCATGCAGAATTAGGGTATATTTCATCATCTGAATGACAAATATCTGATTGGAGAAAAAAATCCACAAAATAAAATAATCTCAATGGAAAGAGAGACTAAAGTACTGTTAATATATGTACCATATATTGCATATTTCTAATTACAAATATTGTATTTTGTTAAGTTTATGTTGGTAACAGGGTTGACAAGATTATGAAAACAGCCAGGAGAAAAACGGTTATAAAATATGAAATAACACAGCCTGAGATGGCACTATATCATTTCCTGCCATTTTAAACTTTTTTGATTCCTGGGTACTTAAAAATTAACAATTAAATATAATTTAAATTTTATTTTTTTTTAAGCTGAAAAGGCACCGATTTCATGGAATGACCCAAATGGTTAGGATAAGTCAAACAGATTTGTGGTGGCTCTTGGATTTATGGTAGATAAGAAAGGGTCCTTATTTCATTTGTTTTCTCATAATCCTGTACATTAGTTTGTGGTGAGCCTGAGTTTCATTATCAACAGTTACTTAAACAGAAGCTTCACTCTGTCTTATTTCCGAAGTACAAACCTGAAAAAGAAACTAATTTTCTTGTGGATGGGGCATATTTTTGCTCAAATATTTACATCTCAGTGATTCTGTTTAGAACAAGAATTGCTCTCACATTGTTAATCTTCAGCTTGCTCTTGCTCTTGTCTTGCCTCTGCAGATGTCCCGACAGCTGGTAAAGGACGGCCCGACTGCGACGGCGCTCTCTGTTAAAGCCCGGAGGACGACTGACTGGGCGGACCTGCAGACCTGTTTCCTCATCTGAAACAGAAAAGTGATACCAGAGACACGAAGAGAGAGAGGAAAAGAATCAAATCTGAATTCTCCTCCTTTATATCCACCCAACTGTCTGCAGACAGATTTACACCCCGACCGCAGAGACTCTTTAGTATTATTTTATGTAAATCAGAGATTATGAATTATCCTCATTCTCACCAGCTCCAGACTCATCGTTGTGGTCCAGGTCTTTGTTCGCTGTGATGTCTTTGTGTGAAACCAGGAACAGAACCACTTCGCTCTTCTCGTTCTTGATAGGAACAATATCCAGCAAACACCAGAACCTGGAACCTGGACACAGGAAACACAGATTAAAATCCCACATAGTATATCCTAATACAGAACACAGATTGGCCCAATCCAAGACAAATATAAAGCCCAATTTACACAGACTGTGATCCAAATTCAGAACAAAGTCTACAATAATAATCCAGAACAAATCATAGTTTTAGTTTAAGAACACAGATCATCATCACAATTCAGATTAAAGGTTGTTTCCAATCCATGCAAATATTTAGATCCAATTCAAAGGCATAGACTATGACCCTCATCCAGAACAAAGAAGATAATCCTAATCCAGTACACCAAATGTAATCTGAATTTGCAAAGCAGATCACAATCTAGTTCCAGAACACACCTGATAATCCACATTCAGAGCCAAGTTATAGTTTTAAGTAAAAGTGGCTATTATGATCCCATTTCAGAACACAGAATTTGATTTTAATCCAGAACACAGATTATGCACTCGAACAAAAACAGATTTTAATTTCAATTAAACAACACAGATCACAATCCCAATCTCAAAATACAGTTGTGGCAAAAATTATTAGCGCCCCTATGAAATTTGAAGTTTTTTTTCCATAATTTTCAAAGTGCTGTTCAACAGATTTTTTTATACAGCTTTTCCAAACATCCTAGTTTTATTTGGATCCTTACATTATTGTGCTTTGAACACAGAAACAAAATCATTCCACAAAAACCAAAAACTACCAGGGTCAAAATTATTACCCCCCCTGAGGCTGATAGTCAGTTGTGTGTCTTTTTTGTTGGATAACAGCATGCAGTCGTTTGCTGTAGTTTGTAAAAAGGCTCTGGCACATCTCCTGAGGAATCCCAGCCCAGTCGTCTTTGGCAAATCTTTCAAGTTCCTCCAGATCTGATGGTCTTCTAGCATGGACCCTGGTCTTCAGTGCAGCCCACAGATTTACGATAGGATTTAAGTCAGGGCTTTGTGCAGGCCAGTCAATAACGTTCACTTTGGTTTCCTGGAGGCAGCTCCTCACCAGACGAGCTGTATATTTTGGGTCATTGTCATGTTGGAAGACAAAGCGACGACCCAGACCCAGTTTTGCTGCCAACTGCTTGAGGTTTTCTTTCAAAATCTTCACATATCCTTTTTTCTTCATTATTCCTTCAACCTTGACAAGATTCCCAGTTCCAGATGCACTGAAACATCCCCACAGCATGATGCTCCGACCACCGTGTTTAACTGTGGGGACAGTGTTCTTGGGGTTATAAGCTTCTCCCTTCTTTTTCCAAACATAAGCAATGTCTCTGTGACTAAAGAGCTCTAGTTTGGTCTCATCTGACCAAAGAACACGTCTCCAGTTTGAACAATCTTTCTCCACATTGTCCTTAGCAGACAATAGTCTGGCATGAAGGTGTCTCTTTTGTAGAAGTGGAGTTTTTCTTGGCCTGCATCCTCATAGTCCATTTCTGTTCAGGATTCTAGAGACTGTCTTGTTTGACACCATAATTCCTGACTTGTCTAAGTCAGCAACTTCTGTTTTGGTGGTTGTTCTACACCATGTGCACAATTATTAGGCAAGTGAGTATTTTGATCATATCATCATTTTTATGCATATTTTCCAACTCCAAGCTGTATAAACTTGAATGCTTATTGGATATAAGCAGATCAGGTAATGTGTATTAGTGTAATGAGTAGGGTTGGGTATCGTTTGATTTTGAACGATTCCGATTCCAATTTCGATTCCTCATTTCGATTCCGATTCCTATCGATTCTCTAATTCGATTCTTTTAAAAGGCAGGATATCAAAAAGAAAAAAGAAAAAAAAAGCATGGTTTGAATGAGGGTGCTAACCGGGGCTCTTCTTTTTGGATGAAATTTCTGAACTTCTCCATGAATTTTTAAATCATATTAACTTTTTAAGAACTTTACTATGAATTTCTCACAGAGCTATTTTCAACCAGTATATAAATATCAATTTTTGTTTTCAGGTCGTTTGTCTATGAAAAAGTACAAGGGCTAACGTTAGGTGGATATTTAAGTTTACTCACCGTACACAGTTCAATTTCTTTACCGTTTCAAAGTTAGCAGAGGACAGAAGTAATTTATTGTTTCACTTATCTGATCCTGACTGGTTAGCGGAAGACAGGTGTTGTGCTGTAGAATGCACCCCTGCCGTAGAATGCCTCCCCTCCACTGATTAGCTTCTTAGTGGAAGAAATATGATCTCATATTTAATAAAACACGGGTATTAGATCATGAAAACGTGTCAAATGGAGCAGTAAACTTTCGTTTTGTTTGTATGTGTCTCAAAAATGCACATATAAAAGTGTACTTGGGTATATAAACTGTAGAGTAAGCTGTTACTGTAGAGAACATAATATTTTCAGGACAGTAAATATTCCGAATCAGAGGGCTATTGTTTTCGGCATATCTGAATAGCCTGAATGAAATCATTAAAGGCACACGCTTTAGATTCCGTCCAACGGTAAGAAAAACTTGGATTGTTTCGCCTTGTTGTGTACTTTCAACCGCGCTCCCGTCAGGGGTGCATTCTACGACACAACACCGGCGAAGCTCGTCAAAGACGAGCACTCGGGTATTTCTCCTCCATGAATCCTGAGGTGTTTAATCATGTTGGTCGTTTACCCTCCTTTGCATGATATAACTGTATTGCTAATGTTGCATTGAGATAAGAGTTCATTCTTCCTGCTAAAGTTAGCCAAACTTTTGACCAACGAAGAAGAAGCTGCCGAACACCAACGAGGACGGAGCGTACGAGACGAAGCCACACAGAGAGAGGAGAGAGACAGAGAGAGATTGTAACCCACAGCGGCTGCATTGCTGTGGGTTGCAATGTACTTTCTCTCTCTGTCTCTCTCCTCTCTCTGTGTGGCTTCGTCTCATACGCTCCGTCCTCATTGGTGTTAAGAGGCTTCTTCTTCGTTGATTTTCAGCGGCTATTTCTTCCGGTCGGCGGACTCTGGCATCGAAACTTGGAATCGAAATTTTAATATTTGAACGATACCGGAAGAATCGAAGTTTTTGTCCCGATTCCCATCGATTCTCGATTCTCGATTCCCAACCCTAGTAATGAGGGAGGCTGGGGCCTAAGGAGATCAACACCCGAGTTGAAGATGGACTTAAAATCAACTCCCAAACCTAGTGCCAGTTTTTAGAAGACACTTTCTTCAAGCAGTGGTACAGGCAAAAGTCTGCATCTTTCAAGAAAACCATGATTTTATGCAGGACAATGCTCCATTGCATGCAACAAAGTACTCCACTATGTGGCTCGCCAGTAAAGGCCTTAAAAACGAAAGAATAATGACATGGCCTCCTTCTTCACCTGACCTAAACCCTGTTGAGAACTTGTGAGCCCTTCTTAAACGGGAAACTTACAGTGAAGGAAGACAGTACACCTCTCTGAACAGTGTCTGGAACAGTGTCTGGAAGGCTTTGGTTACTCATCATCAACAGATCAAGAAACTGAAAGACTCCATGAATGAAAAGCTTATGACTGTTATTGAAAAGAAGGGTAGTTACATTGGTCACTGATTTTTTTTTTTTTAATTTCAACAATTTTTATATGTAAATTGAGTTGTTTGTTTATCATTCTCACTTTAACAAGTGAAAATAAATGAGTGAGATGGAAAATTTTTCATTTTTAATTTAGTTGCATAATAATTCTGCAAACTAATAGTTGCCCAGTAATTGTGCACACATAGATATTCTCCTCAGGAAGCCAAAATCTCACTTTTACTCCCTTAAATATTCAGGTTTGAGGTTTTATTAACATTTTGGATTGACTGAGAGCACTGCAGTTGTTCAAAAGTAAAATTTATCCTCAAAAATACAACTTGCGTAATAATTGTGCACACAGTGTAGAGGTGAAGCTGCCTTCTTTCTTTTTCTTTCCTCGCTTTATTTTTTTGAAACCCTGATTTTTGTTTTTTGGGCAGCAAGATGTCTAACCCCCAGGTCATTCAGTCTGGTCTCACTCACTGACGTTACACTTGTCGTCAGTCGCTGTCAGGTGGACTAAACCATAAAGAAAAACATTCGAGGTGCTTTCAGTGACTCAGTTTGATGATTTTTATTTTTTTCACCCACACAATCAAAAACCCATAATTGAAAAGCTCATAACAACATGTTGATCTACCAAAAGTCTCATTATAGATGTCTTTACAAACAGACTGATCCAACAGAAGAAGACAGAAATATCCATCAATGACATTCATACAAATATTCAGCAAAGAGAGAAAGCACAGATCATTTGAAGTGTTTTGGGGGCCGACTGGAAAGACTTTAGACTGTTGGATTTGGGACAGGAAATGAGATTGTGCTTCTAAAGTCTTAGACCTTCAACATCTTCAACAACTGAAGGTGATCTGAACAAATGATCATCTTGATGTTCTTGTTATCAAACTTTAGTGAAGATTTTTCAAGATGAGAAATACAAACAATGAAAGTTATCCACAATCACTGTCCTTAAAGCTGCGACCAAATCAGCCTCTTTGGAAAAGAATGAAAAAGCTGAAATGAAGAAATAAACCGACAGTTTTTGGTGAGACTGATCCACAAACATTTACAAACCAGAACATTTCAAGAGTTCAATGATCTCATTTACATGTTTTTGGTCTGATTGACTCAAAATTCTCTTTATTTCACTTCAATAAACTCAGCAGAGTCTCCACATAATAACCACAGTCCAGCATGTAGTGGCTGAGTGAATGTGGTCTGGACTCTGTGGAGGAGAGTCATGGTTTCAGAGACGCTGTAGAAGGACAGAATACCTGCTCTGTGATCCAGGTACACTCCTACTCTGGAGGACTGAGGACCTGAGACAGGAGTGAAGACATTGTTGTGCACAAATTCATACTTGTCTTTATAACAGCCTAACCTCCAAGATTTGTCATTGTTTCCAAATGTACAATCATCTGATTTTCCTGCTCTGCTGATAGTCTTGTATGCGACTGCTACAAAAACATGTTCCCTCTACGCTCCACCTCCCAGTAACAACGTCCAGTCAGACTCTCTCTACTCAGGACCTGACAATTAACAGTGAATCTTTCTGGGTGATCAGGATAAGACTGTTGTTGTCTTGTCCATGTTGCTCTTCTGTTTCCATCAGATAATAACAGATGTCTGTATGCTGTGTTTGGATCCAGTGTGATTCTTTGTGAATATCTTAAGAAACCAGCTCTGGTCTTGGGTTCTCCTGGTTCTGGTGGTTCTGACAGTAAAACATCCACTTCAGTCACTGCCTGTGAGACGTTTGACCACGTCTCTGTCAGAAGATCCTGGAGTTTATCTCTGAGCTCTGACACAGCTGCTGTCACCTCCTCAAAGTATCTCAGAGGACGGATGTTGATCCTGGATGAGTCTGCAGGTTGACCCGGTCCTGACAGTGAGGGGTAGCTGTGCAGAAACTGGTTGTGGTCCTCTGTGAGTGAGAGCTTCTGCAGATCAGCGTCTTTCCTCTTCAGCTCAGTGATCTCCTGCTCCAATTTCTCCTGAAGCTCTTTGACTCGACTCACTTCACGTTCCTGCTGGGATCTGACCTGCTGCTCCATGTCAGAGCGACATTTCTCCATGAGACAGATCAGCTGGCTGAAGATCTCCTGGCTGTGCTCCGCAGCTTTATCAGCAGAGCCGTTGATAGCCTCCACCTCCTGTTGGAGCAGCTTCACATCTTCCTCTCTGTCCTGGATTCTCTGCTGGATGTTTTCTCGACTCTCCTCCAGATCTTTCTGCCTCTCAGCTCTTTCTGCTGCAGCTGAGACTGTGTCGTGGCCTTTGTGTTGTTCCACAGAGCAGAGATAACAGATAGACTGTTGGTCAGTGCGGCAAAACATCTTCATCACCTCATCATGATGAGAGCAGATGTTCTCCTGGAGCTTCTTGGAGGGCTCCACCAGCTTGTGTTTCTTAAATGTTGGTGATTCAAAATGAGGCTGGAGGTGAATCTGGCAGTAAGAAACCAGACATTGCAGACAGGACTTGACAGCTTTCAGTTTTCTCTCACTGCAGAAATCACAGGCCACATCTTCAGGTCCAGCATCAGAGGGATCATCAGGAGCAGCTTGGAGTCCGCTCTTCTTCAGTTCCTCCACTAAACCTGCTAACAGGTTGCTTTTCATCAGGACAGGCCTCGGTGTGAAGGTCTGTCTGCACTGAGGACAGCTGTAGATCTTCTTCTCATCCTCTTTATCCCAGTAGGTTTGAATACAGCTCATGCAGAAGCTGTGTCCACAGTTAACAGTCACCGGATCCTTCAGTAGATCCAAACAGATGGAACAAGAGAAAGATTCACGGTCCAGACCAACTCCTTTCTGCGCCATTTCAACACTCACTGTCAACAACGACTGACTGACTGAGTTTCATTTCCTTAGAAGTCAAAGTAGTCTGAGCTCTGATCTCAACAACATGTGTGAGTCAGCAGGATCAGCTCAACACACGCTGGTTACACCCAAACTCAGACTGTAGATCTAAAGGGGAGGGAACAAGGAAGTGAGTGTGCAGAGTGGAGCGTGCTGTGTGAGAGACGAGGGAGGGGAAATCCAGTTTTTCTACAATCCAGGAAGAGGAGCAGCGATGTGAACTTTAGACTCTCAAACTCCAACAAGCAGAGGTTATTAAAGCTACAGCCGTCCTGAAGATCAACTGCACCAACATTTATTCACCTCATATAAACCTCATGATCACAGAAAGACTTCCACTGTTTTATATCCACACATATTTAAAGATACACCACATATAAACACACACTCTCTCTTTCTCTCTCTCTCTCTCTCTCTCTCTTTGGCTTGTTGACTTTTGAGGGAATGTTAGTTTTTGTAACTTTTTCCTTTCTTTTCCTTCTTGTTTTTTGGTTGTAATAGTCAACAGGGTCGCAAGAACGTGTTAAGAAAAAAAGATGCAAATTAACTGCCAAAGATTTGAGAAGACTCAAACGTAAAGCTACCAGGAACCGCTTATCCTCCAGTACTGTCATATTCCAAGACTGCAACCTACCTGGAGTACCCAGAAGTACAAGGTGTTCAGTGCTCAGAGACATGGCCAAGGTAAGGAAGGCTGAAATCCGACCACCACTGAACAAGATACAAGTTGAAACATCAAGACTGGGACAAGAAATATCTGAAGAGAGATTTTTCAAAGGTTTTATGGACTGATGGGATGAGAGTGACTCTTGACGGACCAGATGGATGGACCCGTGGCTGGATCAGTAATGAGCACAGAGCTCCACTTCGAATCAGACGCCAGCAAGGTGGAGGCGGGGTACTGGTATGGGCTGGTATTATTAAAGATGAGCTAGCTGGACCTTTTCGGGTTGAAGATGGACTTAAAATCAACTCCCAAACCTACTGCCAGTTTTTAGAAGACACTTTCTTCAAGCAGTGGTACAGGAAAAAGTCTGCATCTTTCAAGAAAACCATGATTTTTATGCAGGACAATGCTCCATTGCATGCAACGAAGTACTCCACTATGTGGCTCGCCAGTAAAGGCCTTAAAAACGAAAGAATAATGACGTGGCCTCCTTCTTCACCTGACCTAAACCCTGTTGAGAACTTGTGAGCCCTTCTTAAATGGGAAATTTACAGTGAAGGAAGACAGTACACCTCTCTGAACAGTGTCTGGAAGGCTTTGGTTGCTGCGACACAAAACGAACAAGAGAAAACCACCGAAAATGAAGATTTGTTGCCAAAAAGAAAAGGAAAGTCAGTTATCTGGAATTATTTCTGTTAAAAGAAGGATGATGTCGACCAAAACACGTGTTCTGTGTTCGTCTGTCGCCACAATAACGTCCCAGAACAATAAAAGCTAAAAATATCTCTGAGACAGACAGAAGCCATTCTACTAACATTCACAAAAAGAGGTAAGATCAGAGCAGGTTAACTGTCCTCAAGACTTCAGCGGTGCAGCATAACATTAAATGCTATGCAGGTCATCTGGTGAAAATTCCGTTATTTTTAATATTGCAATATATATCGCAGGGTTGAAAAAAAATCGCAATGTTAGTTCTTTCCAGTATCGTGCAGCCTTATTTTATACAGTGTGTAAAGTGTAGGACGACCCTTAGTTTTAACTTAATTGATTGATTGATGACAAGCTGAAAGTGAAAGCACATAACTGCACAACAGTGGTTTTTGTTTTGGCTCAATAAAAACATTAATTCTTAAGGGGGCTAATAATTTTGACCCTGGTTGTTTTGGGGTTTTGTGAAAAATTTTGTTTCTGTGTGCAAAGTAAAATGATGTAAGGATCCAAATAAAACTAGGATGTTTGGAAAAGCTGTGTAAAAAAAAATCATTAACCTGTTAAACAGCACTTTGAAAATTATGGTAAAATACTAAATTTTATAGGGGGGCTAATAATTTTGGCAAAGTACAACATAGAATGAGTTATAACCCCAATCCTCAACACAGATTATAACCCCAGTCCATAACAAAGATTATAATCTGACTCCAAAAAATAAATTATGATGTCAATATAAAACCACAGATTATAATCCCAATCTGTAAAAAATTTTATAGAGCATAGGTTGTGACCTCAATCCAGAACATATATCATAATGCCGATACAGATTATAGCCTTTTTAAAAATCACAGATTATAATTCAAATTTAGGACGGTTTGTAATCTCAATCTAGAAAATTAATTCAAACTTGATCAAAAACACAGATTATATTTCGAATCCAAAAGTAATTTTATAATCCCATTCCAGAACACAAAATAATCCTCATCATGAATGCTGATTATAATCCACACCAGGGTACAAAACTTTCAGAGAAACTGACCTTAAATCCACAAACACTGACAGCCTGACTGATCACTCACCGCTCTTCTTGTACAGGATGATCTCAGTCTTGAACTCATGCCGTTCGTCGAGCGCCGTCTGCATCTGCGCTGTGATTTGATGGCTGGTCTCGCTGCCGTACAGGAAGTGACACGTACAGCTCTTCTGCATCAGCTCGCCACGAGCGAAGCCGCTGAGCTCGCAGAAACCATCGGAGCAATAAACGATGGGGTAGAGGGACTGGACCTGAGCATTTCCCAGGACAAAGTTACTATCTGAAGAGGCAAAAACACACAGCAAACAAATAATGTGACTAAAAAAACAATATAAACACATGGTTTAGCAGATAAAATCCTGTTAATAAAGACATCAAAGTCAAAAAAGATGCTGAGATGAGTATCTGGGATAGTTTCTACAACCTGAGTAAACCCAGAAACCCTTAATAAAACTGTCAGATTGAAGAGACACTGAAAGGGTTTGTTTGCAGAAGTTTGTCTGTGCTGCAGGAGTAATACATACTGCACAAAGAGGACTGATATAAATAAGTGAATATGATGTACCATAATGATACCAGAGCTGCAGGTTGTGATATACAATGGCTGTTTGACGGAATTCAGATGTTTGAATAATTCAAGAAAAAAGTGAATGAGATTTGGTGGGAGCCTCTCAGACATCCATTCATTCCCCTGAGGTCATTAACATGTGGACCATGAAATAATCTGCAGACTGCAGCTCTCACCAAGAAGAAAAGATGAGAGAGAGGGGACTGAAAGAGAGAGAGAGAGAGATGAATGGAGGAAAAGTGAGGAATAAAAGGTGAGAGAGTGGAGGATAAATGATGAATGAGAGAAAGCGAGAGAGAGAATAGAGAGAGAGAGCGTGGGTCTGCATGAAGATGAACTGAACAATAAAATTTAATAATTCACACTTTCACAAAGCTGATCGCTCTAAATGCTGAAACTCCACGAAGACAGGCGGATCATGGGGAAGTCTCACATTTCATCTGAAGCACACAAACACAACTGAAACACACACACACATACACAGTCACACTTCAGCCCTTTTTCTGAGAGCACAGACCCTGAATGGCTGAGGTGAACATTGGGATGAGGAGCTCACAAATACAAATTTCAAGGCCAGGTTTACTGGCCTCATAAATTTCAGTGTCGAATAAAGCTGTCAGTAGGGGGAGGTTTAAAACGAGTCCGACATAAGTTATCCAACACTGATGCGTATAACAGCAACAGAGGAGCATTAGAAAGGGTCACAGAGGATCAAAAATACAATGCAAATAAAATATATAAACCAAAAAGAGTGATGGAACATTATAATTTGATGTTTAGCTTTGCACAGTTAAAATGCTAACGATAGTGTCACAAGTGACACTGCAGATGACAAAGATGCTGAAAACTATCCTTCAAATGCTGAGGATGCTGCCTTACATGCCCAAGACAATGAAGAAGATGATGCTGGAATTAATGCTAAAAATAAGACAGTAAAAATGATGCTAAAGGAAATAAAAAAGAATAGACCTATGAGGATGATAAGCAAGTGCCCGATGAAGAAAATGCAGTCAGAGATGACTCCAGGATTGATGTTCAAGAAAATGCTGTAGGTGGTGCAAAAGATAATGCTTTAGATGATTAAAAAAATTGATGTTAAAGGGCATGTTAGAGATGGTGTAGAAGATGATGCTGCAAAAAAGCTTAAGATAATGCTAAAAAGCAGGTGATAACCAAAAAATTATATCACTGAAGGTGATGCTACATATGTTGCTGAAGATTGTGCATAAATGATGACTCAGATATTGCTAAAGAGGATGAAAGCGGATGATGCTAAAAGTGATGCTAGAGATATAAATCATGTAATGCTAGAGATAATGCTATGGATCATACTGAGGCCAATGCTAAAAAGGATTTTGTAGATAAGGCTATAGACAATGAGGCTTAAGATAATGCTGTAAATGATAAAAAATAAACAGATGCTGAAGGTCATGCTTGAGATCGTGCAAAAGATGATGCTGCAGATACAGCTTTAGATGATGCTAAAAAGGAGAGGATGACCAAAAAAGGATAGCCAGATAGAATGCCATGGATCATGCTCAAGCCAATGCTAAACAGGACGTTGTCGGTAAGGCTATAGTTAGTGACGCTTAAGATAATGCTGTAAAAACAATTAAATTAATGCAAAGGATGATGCTGCAGATGATGTTAAAAGAGAAGGATGCTTGAAGATGATGCTTTGTATGATGCTAGAGATAATGCATAAAACAATGCTTCAGATGATACTGAAGATAATGCTTAAGATAATTCTTATGATAATGCGAAAGGTAATAAGACGAGGATGCTTAAAGTGATGCTAGAGATGATGCTTGAGATAATGTTGAGGTTAATGCCATAAAGAGTGCAAAAGATAAAGTTTTTGTTGGAGATGATGCTGGAGATGCTGAAGATAATGCATAGTTTGATGCTAAAAATGATGACAATTATGCTGAAAACAATGATGGTCATGCTAAAAAACGGCAGATGGTGCTGAAAGTGATGCATCCACTGCATTACATTTTCAAACAGTTTTTCTCCTCCACCTAAATCCAGGTAAGGTGTTTTTATAACAGCTCTGCATACACAGTTCTGCACTACAGCATGTGGTAAAAATGAGAGTGTCATTTGCTAACAGTCACACTTGCACCTCAGCAGGTCACGCCAGCAGAGAGACTTTGTTGTGTAGTTTGTGTTTTGATTTTATGAAACTCAGTTTTGCTGCTCAGCTTTGACTAAAAATGTGCAGCAATAGAACTCTGTGTGAGGGTCATGTCAGTCAAACAGATGGATCGGATGTGAAACGCTCACAGTGAGTGTTGTCTCCTCATCGTCAGATCTGCTGCGTGTGTTAAACTAAAGGAGAAACATCTGAGTCTAGATGCTCTGACGATGAAGGTGTGAACATAAAAAGGCATGCAGCTGCTAAACCTGAGGAGCGTGACAGACTAAAACAGCTGTTATGAATCGCTCTGCCTGAGCCTTCTGATGAGTAACTTTTAGAATAAAGTAAATATTCGTAATTAACAGCAGGGAGTACATTAAGTATCTAAAAAAAAAGAGTGTTTAAGACAAGCAAAATAAATGACTTTTACTGAAACTCTCACACAGGAGGTTTCAAACGAACAGAAATCAAACTCTAGTTGTTATATAGACTGTGTTCTCTCTGTAACAGGGTTGTCCATTTACTGTACTTCCATTGTGTAGCTGGTGTTGTGTTGATGGATGGCTGCACTGAACACCATCCTTCCTGCAATACCAACAGGCTCTGACAGGAATTAAATCGGTGCACCTGATGGAGGTGATATATTCTGCTTCTACACCCTGTGTCCTGGTCGTGTATATATCACAGACTCGTCGACAGCCGTGAACACTCCTGTTTGGATATAGACTTTAAAGTGTTCTCCCTCACAGATGTTATAGTTTAGTTCTCATTCTGCTGCATCATGTCTCCTCCTCACTGTCTCGCTCTCATCTCTCAGTATCAGCACCAAAAACACTTTTTTTTTAATATTTTCTCCTTGATTTCCCAAGCATCTCTCTTATCTTAAAACCATGCTGTAGGAGAGCGTTATGAGACCTCAGATTATAGAGAGGAAAAGGGGGAACAGAGGTCCAGCTCTTGACTCTGTAATGACAAACAGCTTAGAGGTAATGGGATCATGCTTGGAGAACAGGATTCCTCTGGGGATCTTGTGCTGCAAGAATATACGATACAAGGGAGCTGCTACTACAACCATTAATCTTCACAGCAGAAGGTCAGACACGTTTTTAGCGAGTGCTGAGCTGCAAACCTGATCCTAACACTACACGTTTGAATTGAGTGAGCAAAATATAAGCACCAATGACAGATGAGTAGAAACACAGGATCATGAAAAGAAAATACTCATTTCAGACATTATTAGTACTGGAAAATTACAGTACATATCACACAGCAAAGAAAACATCAAAACTGCCTGTTTGCAGGTTTATTAAGCATGCAGAAAACAAACATCCTTCTCAAAGACTAATGAACCTACACAAATTAATCATGATGAAATTTTTTTCTATATTTTGTGGGTGAAAGTTTGAGAGATGTGCATACTTGACTAAACCTCATCATCAGTGCATGTTGGGTCAAGTGTTAGTTATCAGAGTTACTGATCATTTTATTATTGCAGGCCGGAAATGTCGCTCATCTTTTGACTAAGCTGTAGTGCAGTCTCCCTTTACTAGTCACTGCTGTAGCTGAGGTTAATGGCTCCTACTGTAATGCTTAGCTCCCTGTATGTCATCTAATTGTGTGGCATGGTTTGCCAGTATTAAGATCTACAAAATGGAGATTAGTTGAATGTAGGCTGCATTTGGCTATGTTCACACTGCAGGTCAATTCCGATTTCTTAACCATATGTGACACATATCTGATTTTTTCATGTAAGTGTGAACAGTGCAATGAATTGTGCATCATAACCTGCAGTGTGAACGTAGCCTTAAACTAGTTCAAAAATCACTCAACCAGAGTTAACCTGAAGGCTGGTTACGCTAGCTCTGCTGGTCTTAACCAAACTCTGCAAACCAATAAATTAAACTGCAGACTGTACTCTGTGTTTAGTTATTTATTTTGGTAAGTAAGCAGATCTGCCGCTGAACGCTTTTTGATTTGAACGGAGCCAAAAACAAAAAAGCAAAAACTGGACAATTAAAGGGATATTCCGGTGTAAAATTAATTTAGGGTCAAACACACCATAACACTGAGTTAGACACCCCCTTTGAGAGATGAATGTTGCCGACCGCTTGCTTCTTCTAGTTATACCAAGTTTAGTAACGACCGCACAATAGCAATACACAGTGGTCTCAGAAGCCACGAGCTCAACCTTAATGCCACTCTATAGCCACAAATAAAGCTCAGAACAGCACCTAACTTCATGAACAGTCATATTACAGAATTCAGCTGCAAGAGTGCCGATAAAGACCAGAGGGCGAGGGCATATAACACCAGTTTTAGCATCGCTGCATTGGCTCCCCATCCGTTTCAGGATTGATTTTAAGGTTCTTTAATTAGTTTTTAGATGTATTAATGGTCTTGGCCCTCCCTATTTATCTGACTTACTTTTACCATATCAACCCTTGCGGGCCCTAAGGTCCTCCGGCACTGGCATTTTAAAAGTTAAAACAAAAACACACGGGGATGCAGCATTCAGTTTTATGGTCCCCGGTTGTGGAACAGCCTGCCGGAAAGCCTCAGGGCCGCAGAGACTGTTGATGTTTTTAAGAAGAGGCTCAAGACTTACCTTTTTAACCAGGCCTTTTACTAATTGCCTTTTTATATTTTTCTTATTGTAAATGTTCATTTTAATTGAAGTTTTTATTGTTTATTTTATGTAATTTTATTAATTGTCTCTATTCTTAGTCTTTTTTCTTAATTCCCGTCACAGGTTTTTATTTCTTTTACCCCTTTTTTATATGGTAAAGAGCTTTTACTTATCTGTTCATTTAATATTATTTTCTTGTTTTAGTCCATGAGGTTTTACTTTTTCTTTTCACCATTTTTATCTCTATTTTTTATCTCCGGTGTTTCCCAAAGGTAGCTCTTTCCTCACGTAATGTCTCGGTGTCAGGCCATGTCTCGTGAACAATATAACTTAAATTCTTACACTGTGTGCGGTTGTGTGTGTGTATGTGTGGGTAAGTGAGTGAGGGTGGGTGTGTGCCCTTGTGTGCGTGTGGGTCCATGGGTGTGTGTGTGTGGGTGGGAGGGTCCAGTTTTATTGTCGTTATTGTTGTTTTTAGCCTCTGTGAGGCACTTTGAATTGCATTTTTTGTATGAAAAGTGCCATACAAATAAAGTTGAATTTGAACAGTACATATAGAGCTTGAGCTGCGTCACCCCGCTGCTGTAATGGACTCGCTTAAGGTCTCCATACCAACAAGCGGCTGCTGAAAGAGAGTGGGTGAGTTGTGTTTAGTCTCTTTGCTAAAGAAATAAGGCAAAGCTAAAAAGATGTTTGATGGCTAGTATTATGGCTGGGACCCCATATGTACTGTTGATGAAGTTAGGTGCTGTTCTGAGTATTACTTGTGGCAAAAGAGAGGCCTTTTGGTTGAGCATGTAGCTCATGGGACTGCTGTGTATTGCTATCGTGCAGTCGTTACTAAAGTTGGTATAACTAGAGGAAGCAAGCAGTCAGCAACATTTATCTCTTGACAGGGTGTCTAAAGGTCCTTACACACTGGAACTGTTTATGTTGTGTGATTATTTCGGACGTCAATATTTTTTTTCAAACCCGTATCCTGTCAATACAAGCGTTCACATCAGCGACGTTTTCCTGTTCTGCGATATTGTGACATTTATTTTTTCGGATCATGGTCAACTTTTCTAAAGTTTCACATACTGTGTGTCCACTTCTGACCAATCAGATTGCGTGTTTTTGTGATGTTTAATGCCGGTTTACCCAACATGGCCGATCAGCTGATTGTTTATGATCGTTTACACAAACATTACAAAGATAACGACCTGAAGGACAACTTGTGGAGAGTCACAGTGTTGGATTTCTCATATGACGATGTTTTGTGTGCTTTAACACTTTGCTAAACATCTTTGTTTTAACTTTCATCTGTGCTAACGTAAGCTAACGGTTGTTACCATAGTTTCATGTGCTTATCTGGTACTGGCCCCAACTCAGTACATGCTATCATGACAGAAAGCCATCTCAACACTAGTGTCTAGTGTCTAGTCCTCTGCCTCTTCAAACTTGGAGCTAATTGTTTCAGCAGAACTTCAAATTGTTCAACGGACATCCGAAAACAGGTTCTAGAGCAACAGTGGTACAGTTTCAGCTCCTGAACTAAGCAGTGAAACTCAAGTTCTCTTCTTTTTTGTAATATTGGATGCACCCGTGTGCTACGTTTCTTTTTCTTTTGAGAAATCAAAGGAGTACCAATTCGACATCACTTGAAGTTGAAGTAGACTCCATTTTTGTCCTCTTGCTTCTACCCGGGACGCTGAGGGTTGCTAAGGGAAGGTCCCGCTCTCCTTCGCCTCTGATTGGCTATAAGTTCTGACCGTTTGGCTTTAGCGTGTGATGATGTTTCCAGCTTTTCTAGCCAATCAGAGGCGAAGGAGGCGGGACTTCCCCCCGGAAAAGTCTTCCCCAGGATGCGTCTCTTTCCCCCCAGGAAGTCGCAAAATCGCATCGGGCTTGATGTGTATAGTCAGGCGCTTCAAAATTCACCTCAGAATATTTCGTGATTTTGCGTTCTATATTCGTGTCAGCCCCAGTGTTAAAGGACCTTAACTTGGTGTTACGGTGTGTTTGATTCTAACTTAATTTTACACCGGAGTATCCCTTTAATTCACCACTGTACAAAAGGAGCAGGGGGTAAACAGGGGGCAGGAGATGGTTTCAGCCCTGAGCCTTCTTGGTAGGTGAATACGGCCCTGAAGCTGTGTGAATCCACAGTGAACTGAAGTGAACCTAAAATAAGTGACAGCTGCTGCTCACAGTACAGTGATGCTAATGAATGACACCTTTATATACATACATGCATCCACACATAACACGGCATGTCATATCAAAACCAGTGAGTATTATTCAGCTTTGGAGTTTTTATAGTTCACTGAGGCTTTACCATGTCTGTCAGAGGTGAGTTCAAGATTCTGCTGCTAAAACAAAATATACCAAATACCCATCATCGCTTTATGACTGAAACATTTTTTAAAATTTAGTGGGGAAAATTAAACCAAATTTACCCTCAAACTGTGTGGAAATTTATGAATTATTCGAGACAAATGTCATTCATTCATTCATCCATTCATTCATTCATTTATTCATTTAATGTCTCCTCGTCTGGTCCCTTTGTTAGCCTATTATTAATGTTAAACTTTCAATTGTTTAAACCATCAATGTGATTTATTCCGGATCGTTACCGGATAACTGACAGATGTAAACAGGTGTACTCACGGGTCCCGTCGAAGCGCGTGGCGATAGTGTCCAGGAAGGTGTTCTGCGGCGCAATCAGACCCCGCATCACCGGCATGCGGGATCGGGTGGACCCGCGTCTCTCCCTCCGCTCCGAGCCGCCATGACCGTCCCCGGAGGTCGACACGAAGCCCGGCAGGAACCGGGACGAGCTTCCCGGCGCTCCTCCCAAACCCTGCAGGAGGGCGCCGAGCCGAGACACCCGAGACTCCAGGGTCCACCTGAGTCCAGAGACCGAGGAACTGCGAGGAACCGGGTCCGACAGAGACCACAGCCCGCCGGGGGAGGAGATCCAGGAAGGTGGACCGGACTGAGATGAGGAGGGAGAAGGTGCTGGAGACGGAGGGGAGAGGCGCTTTGGTCACATTTACGCACGAGTGTGCTGCAATGTGCCCCCTCTCTCCTCCCCCACGGGTTCCCCCTCTCCCTCCTTTTTTCACTCCTTTCCCATACTTACTCCTCTCCCCTCCCCTCTAGTTGTGAATAAAGTGTGTATTGTGTGTTTGTTATCAGAGCTGAACGTGTAAACGTGTCAGAACTAAATGAATGACCAGCCCAGGTTTGTTTCTAAGAAAAATCACATTGAATATAACATGAAATGCTGTCTATCAGGAGCCCCAGGTAGTCTGCAGGTGAACTGACCCCCACACCTGAAAGTGATGACCCCACCCCTAAAATGTGGAGCTAGACTTAAGAGGAGGAGGAAAGAGGGAGAGGAAGATTAGGCTGGTAAAAAATGATTTCATCAATCGCTTTAAACACACAGAGATTACTTTTCTCTTTCAGACCCAGAGATGAAGATCCGATTTTTAAGTGTTTCATTCACAGAGAGATTCAGACCACGTGGAGTAAAATAAAGGTCAGAGCGCCATCTACTGGACACTGAGCTCAGGTGCAGCAGAGTCACTCTATAATTAGGGGTACATGTCATGTCCATGGACAGTATTTATCAATTTTACCAAATATTAGCTTTGACCAATGATCAATTTTATATCAGGGCACATTTCTCTTTTATTCAATACAAAAAGTTCAACATATATCATCTTTCTTTTTGCAATAAATGCATGTATTATACTGGAATTTGTTGGTTTTATGCTGTCTGATTTTCTCAATGTCAGGTTTAGCTCTTCAGATTAACATTAAATTAAATGTTTTTGTACACAATTTTTGTAAATACTTTTTCAAAATAATCACTGATATATGAGAAAGTTGTTTGAAAATCAATTTAGCTCATTCATACACATTAAATCATCCGCTTTGTGTGTGTCCGAGAAACTTTTGTCAACTGTGTTACCCTGTGAAAACCCCCCATAAGTCAGCAATTGTTTGCTCCCAAGTAACATGTTCACATCATTTAATGTGATATCCTTTTTGAAGGGAAACTTAAAACACAGTGAGGTAAGTCTTTACTTCCACTCTTCAATAATTTATCAATATCATTGTGAATACATAGAGCGGATTAACTGATTGTCAACTGTGTTGTCAACATATTCATGAGAACTTGCTTTAAATGTTTTATTTACAAAAATGTAGATAAAAACAGTTGATTAAGGTCTCACAGCATCAGTTCTGAGGTCTGCAGTTAGCAAAAAGCCCTAAAATGGCCGAAATGTCAACTGTGTTACTCATCAGCTGTAACACAGTTGACAGTGTTCGAAGTTTACTGCCACATTTTATGTTAATATTTAGAGACAAATATGATGATTTGTGCTTTAGGAAGATGGGTTCATCTGCTGCAGAGAAGCAGCACCAATGACTCAGCAACAGCTGAGGTGATGAAGGGGGCACACAGTGAAAACAGCAAATATTTTCATGAAAATATCATAGAAATCGTTTTCTTCATACATTCTGCGGTTAGTTTATCAATTCTTCTTGTTATTTAATCTAAAAAAGTTTCTAAGTTAACAGATATTACGCCTTTATGACGTTTTACTCATCCACTGTGCAAAGTCTAGTTCATAATCTGTTTAAAACTATCAGATTTGGTGAAATGGGTGTTACTTTGGGAGTTGGCATATCAACCTCATTAAAAATTAACAGTATTTATGTTTGTACTAAAAGTAACATACAAAAAGTCAACAAATAAAACGTGCATAATATGAAGGTTTTGTAGGACTTGAACATCTTTATTTATAGGTTTTTATATATATATATATATATATATATATATATATATATATATATATATATATATATATATCAGTCCATAAGTAGAGACTCACACAACAGAATTAGCTCGTTATTACGCCATTACAGAGCTTGATAACGAGCTGATCATTTGAATCAGGTGTGTTGGAGCAGGGAAACATCCAAAACATGCAGGACAGTGGGCCTCGAGGACTGGACTTGAGAACCACTGATTTAAATAACACAAATAAACTTAAAATACATCATATGCACAGACTCATCACTTAAAGTTTAGTAACATACTAAAAGCTAATATTAGCTACAGTTTAACTGTCAAACTTTCATAAAAAGTACCACGAACAAAGACATTTTAAGTCCACACATCAATATATATTATTGCGGAGTCTGACTCCTAGAAGCACCTCTCTTTGACTGACCACTTACAAAGCCGCTCACTATATATATATATATATATATATATATATATATATATATATATATATATATATATAAATATATGAATGATAAACACAGAAACAATATAAATATGTCATCTCTAAAGAGGATCAATCCTTAAAATTAAGTCTGAACTGAAGACAGACGACAGCTCTGCTTGTCTTTAAGCGACTTTGGAATTTCCAAATTCACCCTGCTAAAAATAAAATAGTGCTGCGTCATTAAATCTGGCTCTTCCTTTTTTTTTTAAAGTGGTCCTCCAACAGTCTGATATTCACAGTAAAAGTTAAATCAAAGAATAAATGTCTTCTTCTGCTCATTATTAGGAGTTTTGACACCCTGTTCTTTCCATTTGAACTGAAGAGAAGTAGGAAATCCAAACACATGCTATGCATAAGTATCTACAGATCACTCCACAGTCATAAAGGCTGTATGTTCTTGCTTGAGTTTTTAGGGTTTCATCTTCCCAGCAGAGTTTGGCTCCTCTCAGGTTAACAACCCAGACTAAAACTGCTCCTGATAGTGAACTTCCCTTGCTTACTCTAGAAGGACAACTATCTGCTAGGATGGAATGAGTTAATTTAAAAACTAAAGCCAAAAATCTGTGCATGTGTCCAGCTTTAGATCTGAAGGACATTAGTTTCCTTCCTAACTTTGGTGCTTTTTTGTTCTTGCTCCTTGCCATGTTTGCCACTTCCGTACGTGCTTTGCACTCATACATAAACCTAATGCACTAAAAAAATCCAGATTATACCATATACACAATTTAATTTTAATGGATTATTGGGAAAAAGCCTAAATGTGTTTCCTCTGTTTTTATAATCTCATAATGGTATTTGTTCATTCGAGAATATTGGATCACGCTGTTACCATGACTACTTGAGGAATCAGCTAAGAAAAACGGAAAATGATTGGTTTACCAAATAAAATACCACATAACTCTTTATAAAAGAGATCATAAGGCTGACTGGCAGCTACCAGATATGAGAACTTTGGACAGGAAGTCCAAACTGTCTCCAAAAGTGAAACCAAAAACATATGGTGTCCCCCCCGGTGATTGGCAGTGCCCATTTCAGAATGTTTTGGCCTCACTTTCTGGGTCTGTGGAGGTGCCAGTCCATCTCACTACACTGGCGTCAGTCTGAAATGATTCGTTTTCAGACTACAGTGGACACAGGTACGCTGAAGCGTTCAGTTTGACCCCATATCCAAACCCAGCGTAGAGAGGTCCAGTGAATGTGGTGTTGAAGGTGTGGAGGTGGGTCAGAGTGTCAGAGGAGACACTGTAGAAAGACAGAGTGCCAGCAGGACAGTCCACATACACCCCCACCCTGTGAGAGACGGAAGACGAGGGGAGAGGGATGAGCGTCCCGCTGTTATCATGCCAGGCGTTGTATCCTCCATCAGTGCAGGTCAGACTCCAGGACTGATCATTCCCTCCAAACTTAGAGCCGTCACTGTCTCCTTTCCTCCCCATCCCTCTGTAACCCACAGCAACATAGACCTTTCCCACCCACTCCACCTCCCAGTAACAGCGTCCAGTCAAAGAGTCCTCACTCAGTACCTGAGGCCAGTAGTCAAACCTCTCAGGGTGATCAGGGTACGGGTGCTCCTTCCTCAGATCTGTCACCTTTCTGTTGTTTTCAGACAGTCTGAGGAATTTGTGGACCGTGTTTGGGTCGAGTGTGAGTTCACAGAAATCTAAAATAAAAACAAGGAGAACTTTGTGTCATTGACTGAGTTTTTTTAGGTCAATCATTTCGCTTAAAGCATAACTCTTCTCTCTCACTTTTCAGAATATTCCCCCTGTATTTTCACAGTGATTTCTCAATTATGATACAGTGTTGGTTCTTTTTTTTCAGGAAATCCAGCTTAGGCATACTTACACTTCCTCAAACCTGGTCTCAACCACTGTGTCCCACTCGGGCTCAATCTGGAAGACAGAGAGAGAGATCAACTTGAAAAGGTCTGAAAAAGTCGTACTGCCAAGTTCTCTTTTACATTTCCTAAATCTGTCTGAAGATCATCAACAGTATATTTACATACATTAAAGTGTCAAGACTCATTTCAGAATCCTCCAATCCAGCAGAGAGCTGTTTCACACCCGATTCCCCTGGATGGTTGTAGCTCAGGTCCAGCTCTCTCAGGTGTGAGGGATTTGAACTCAGAGCTGAGGCCAAAGAAACACAGCCTTCATCTGTGATCAGACATCCTGACAGTCTGCAGACACAAAACAAAACCAGTGGCTTTTTAGGCAAATATTCATCAATATAGCACCAAACATCATGACTTGTTACTCAAAGAGTAGATCCGGTTCAAAGTATTTGAATTATGTAGGAGCAAAGAAAAACAACTTTTGGTAGTCTCTAAAAAGATCTCTTGCACACTTGGACCCTGGAAGACCATATGTTTTGACCTCATTAGCTATGTAACAGTCATTCCTCCCCAACTCAGCAGCAGCATGGTGGCTGTCTGGCATGAGTCAGGTCCTGCTCAAGGTTTCTGTCTGTTAAAAGGAAGTTTTTTCTTGCCACTGCTACTCATGTTAGATGAGATGGGCCAAAACCCATCTTAGGTTGGTTCTTGATAATTCATCAAACAATGAGCGTGGTCTAGACCTGCTCTTGTTCTTTGAAAAGCATCTTGGGATGACGACTGATGTGAATTGGCGCTGTATAAATAAAATTGGATTGATTGATTGATTGATTGATTCACGTATCTGACCTACTGGTATTACAGTCACATCAACCCCATCTCTGTTTGTGGTTTGTAGACCCAGAAAAGCTACAAACTCAAAGGGCTTGTTGGACAGCTTTCAGTCTAACCAACTGTGCCATATAAAACATTGCATTATCTGCAAATTACTTGATCTGCTTGTGATGTGGTTACGTAAGTCTTTCTTATGAAGTCTATTTGTGGTTTGTTGACCCAAAAAGGGCCAATGGACGAATGGTGAATGGCCATCTACCTTAACTTCATAACCATATAAAACAGTGTATCATCTACATATTGTTGATCTACAGGCACTTGGGTTACAAATTTCACTAAATTATGTCTACTTGTACATTGTAGACCCAGAGAAAAACTTAGGACAAATAGTGGATAGCCATTTTTTTATCACCTTATCAAGATTATAAATCGTTGCATCATCTGCATATTACTTGAACTACTAGTATTGCAGTCACATAGCTCTTTTCTTTAAATCAGCTCGTGGTTTATAGACTCAGACAAACTATAAACCACAGAAAGAAACCACAAGTACTCAGAGGTCAGTGTTTTCCCTTGACCCAGACAGCTAGACATAAACATACATTGTATCTACTATGTATTGCACGGACTACTGATCCCTTAGTTGCATAATCCCTGTGCCAGGTCTGTATTTGGGTTGGAGACCGAGACATGGACTCAATCTTTGTAACCCTAACTCAAACCCTGGCATCTGATGGGTTTCACACAAAGGACTGACTGGAGTTAATTGGAAGGTGACCCAGACCCGCATATTTATGTATCATGTGTTAACTCAGGATTGACTCAATATCACTTAAAAAGGAACAGGAAGATGTGGTTGTTCCTGCTCATGCAGCCTCCCTCGTCTCATGCAATCTGTTAATCCATGAGATTAAATCAAAAAAAGCCCTATATTGAAAGGTATGCGCCAATTCACAAAATCGCAGAGTTATCAGGGTAGCACAACTTTCTCTTAGCTGTTGGTTTTGGTCAGATGTCCACCAAAATTGAAAGTGTACTTCAAGATGGCCCCTGTAGGAGTCATAGTGTGTCTTGTCAATGTGACCCCCAATTCAGACTACACAGACAGTCCATGTAGAACTCTGAGAAAGCTAACCTCACAGTTTCCAGTAGACAGTCTGAACTCTCCAATGCAACACACAGTTTCTTCAATCCTGAGTCCTTCAGGTCATTGTTACCAAGATCCAGTTCTCTCAGCCTGGAAGACTGGGAGCTGAGGACTGAAGACAAAGCCTCACAGCTTCCCTCTGAGAGGTTACAGCCACTCAATCTGAAAAAATGTAATTGGCAGGTAAGAAGGTGAGAATTTACATTAGATCAACAGCAGCACTCCAAGAACAGTGAAAACATGGTCACTTACAGAGCTGTCTTGGAGGCTTTGACCACTGGCAACAGCTTAAGAAGAGCCTTTTCTGAGGCAGAGTATTTCTTCAGGTCAAACACATCCAGATCTTTTTCTGATGACAATAAGATGAAAACCAGAGCTGACCACTGAGCAGGAGAGAGTTGGTCAGTGGCAAGGCTACCGGATCGTAGGTACTGTTGGATCTCCTCCACCAAGGAATGGTCCTTAAGTTCATTCAGGCAGTGGAACAGGTTAATGCTTTTCTCTGGACTTGAGTTTTCCTCAATCTTCTTCTTGATGTGTTGGACTTTGTCCTGATCAATCTGTAGGCTACTTCTTGTTGGAGTCAGAAGACCTCGTAGGAGAGTCTGATTGGTCAGCAGTGAAAGTCCCAGGAGGAAGCGGAGGAACAAGTCCAGGTGTCCATTTGGACTCTGTAAGGCCTTGTCCACAGCACTCTGGTAGAACTCTGTCATTGTGGATCCATGGACGGTTGATGGATCTTCTGACAGCAGGTTGGCTCCAGAGTTGGTGAAGGTCAGGTGGACATGAAGAGCAGCCAGAAACTCTTGAACACTCAAGTGGATGAAGCAGAACACCTTATCCCGATACAGTCCTCTCTCCTCTCTGAAGATCTGTGTGAACACTCCTGAGTGCCAAGAGGCTTCTTTGATATTGATGCCACACTCTATCAGGTCTGATTCATAGAAAGTCAAGTTTCCTTTCTGCAGCTGCTCAAAAGCCAGTTTTCCCAGAGAATTGATCATCTTCTTACTCTTTTTATTCCAGTGTGGATCCGTCTCATCTCCTCCTTCATACTTGATTTTTTTTCGCTTGGACTGAACCACCAGGAAGTGAATGTACATCTCAGTCAGAGTCTTGGGCAGCTCTCCTCCCTCTCTGGTTCTCAGTACATCCTCCAGAACTGTAGCAGTGATCCAGCAGAAGACCGGGATGTGGCACATGATGTGGAGACTTCTGGACGTCTTGATGTGGGAGATGATTTTGTTAGCTAGTTTCTCATCTTTAAACCTCTTCCTGAAGTACTCCTCCTTCTGAGGGCCAGTGAACCCTCTGACCTCTGTCACCATGTCCACACACTCAGGAAGGATCTGATTGGCTGCTGCAGGTCTTGTGGTTATCCAGAGGCGAGCAGAAGGAAGCAGGTTCCCCCTGATGAGGTTTGTCAGCAGCACATCCACTGAGCTGGACTTTGTAACATCAGTCAGGACCTCATTGTTGTGGAAGTCCAGAGGAAGTCGACACTCATCCAGACCGTCAAAGATGAACACAACCTGGAAGTTTTCAAAGCTGCAGATTCCTGCTACTTTGGTTTCAGTGAAGAAGTGATGAACGAGCTCCACCAAGCTGAACTTCCTCTCCTTCAGCACATTCAGCTCTTTGAAGGTGAATGGAAATGTGAAGTGGATGTCCTGGTTGGCTTTGTCTTCAGCCCAGTCCAGAGTGAACTTCTGTGTTAAGACGGTTTTCCCGATGCCAGCCACTCCCTTTGTCATCATTGTTCTAACTGGTTTGTCTCTTTCTGGTAATGGTTTAAAGACGTCTTCACATCTGATTTTAGTTTCCATTTTTACTGCTTTCCTGGACGCTGTTTCGATATGCCTGACCTCGTGTTCATCGTTGACCTCTCCAGTCCCTCCCTCTGTGATGTAAAGCTCTGTGTAGATCTGGTTCAGAAGGGTTGGGTTTCCGGCTTTAGCAATCCCTTCAAATACAAACTGAAACCTCTTCCTTAGACTGGATTTCAGATTTTGCCGACACATTGCTGGAGATTCTGAAATTTCAAGAAAGGTCATATGAGCACTAAACTTGCCAAAATTGATTGAAAAAATAATCAAAGAAATTTGAAAGGAGAAGTTTAAACTTGTTCTTGATTTACAACAAAAAGGTTAAAAAACCCCTAAATATCTATATCAGTATGCTTTAAAATAGGGACAGGGAGCTGTCATTGAAAGTAGATCCTTCTATTTTACTGGCTTAGACCATTTGGCCAATTGTGTCTGCACGAGGTAAGTACCTTCTCCAAACTTGGGACAATTCTTGGGCGTGGAGTTAAGTCTTTGCTGAAATTAGCAGTGCTCTCAAATGGCACTGCCCTAAATTGTGAGATTGACAGGCAGATTGGTTCTGCATATACTGAATTGAGGCCAATGGACCAAACCATCGTGGAGAAGGAGCTAAAGAGCCCTAAAGTTCCATGCGTAGGCAACCAAATTCCTTATCTGCTTGGAAGTGAAAATATCCCGTCCATTTTTGTATTCACCCATGCATTATCCATCTTTTAAACAACCCATCCATTCATGCAATGGCTCCTTCATCCATTCAAGCATTAATGCCTCAATTCATGCACCCATCCATAGATTCCTCAATCCATCTATCACTACACCCACCCATCCACCAATCCGTGTAAGCATTCATCCATCCTGCCATGCATCCGTGTTTCAATGTAGGCATCTTTGCTTCAATTCAGGCAAGCATCCACCCATTCCTCCATCCATCCATTCATTGATGCATCCATGTTTTTATTCATCTATGTATTCATTCCCTTCTGGATATCCAGAGTTGGCTTGCAGTAGCAGCAGGCCAAGCAAGGCTACCCTGACAAATCTCCCCTAAGCAATATTTTCCAGCTTCTCCTGGTTCCATGAAGTTTTCAATGAAGGGCTGGAGATAAAACTCCTTCAGTGAAATGACTTTCTTTAAGTGGTGTCTCGGATCAGACCTGGAGATGGGGTCAGGAGCTTAGACATCCAGAGGGAGCTCGGAAAAGCTCCAACAGGTGCTGCTCTTTCCCCTCGAGATAGAGAAAGTTAAGGTGGGTTTGGGTATTGGATGCGGATGCCTCAACAGCAACCCCTCTGGACATTTTTTAGGTTCATTCGACTGGGAGGAGCCTGAACTGGAACATGGGATTAGATGGGATTTGAAGAACATGAGATACTACTTTTTTAATAACACGATGTTCCCCAAACTGGCATTCTCAAATGGAGTCTATTGGAAGTTTTTGCAAACCAACACAGCATCACATGGATCATTCTGATGACCACAGCAGGTAGACCAGACCATGTCTCAGAAAATGATCATACAAGCGACAATCTTTAAACCACCATACTGCCACCATTGTGTGTGTTGGGGCTTGTAAAATACAACACAAGTGTTTTTTTCCCCTGGGAGTGTCGGGTGTGTTTGGGATCAATAAACAAAGATAAGGTAGGATAATGTTTTATCTTATCAGAAATCATCTTACTGCTCTGCAGACAGTCAGCCAACTCCTCCTGCTTCAATCTCCTCAGGAAGTCCACTGTCATCCTCAGGAAGGTCTCTCTGATCTTCCTCTTCTGCTCTTTATCCCCCAAATCTATCACCTCATCCTCATCTTGACTCCTTGAGCATTCTGGGTAATCTGGTCTCAGAACTGTCCGGAATTTCTTCAGCTCACTCTTCATGAAGGTAACCATGGTTTTCTCCAACATCTGGAACAAAATATTTTATGAATGACAAAATATGTCAACCAAACATCAGGTCGTGGATGGACAGGCTGATAATCCGCTGGTTTTAAGATTACTCTGAGCAGAACAGATGTAAAGGCAGCAGCTCTTCAGGTACTGACCATAAATATTGAGTCCAGCTGAGATGGATGCTGCTGACCAGAATGACCAATGGGACACTCTGGACTCTGCTGGTCAACCCTGCAGAGAAATTGTGAAATAATAGTTCATATATTGTTACTGTGAGACTCAAACAATATGTTAAAAAAGGACAATAGGTGATTATTTTAGATACATTAGGTATCTCTGGATCTGAGCTCATTTCAGGTTGACCAAGGGGAGATCATGGACGCTCCATCCTCCTCACTAATGAGCAGAGGAGGCACTCAGCTTGTTTTCAGCTCCCAGTCCAAAGCCAGCATGGTATGAGGAGAGGATAATCAGAATCAATGTCATGGATAGCTTCCACAACTGTGCTGCCATCCAGACAATGATTTTCCAGTGAAGACCTTCATATTCATAGCAAGACACGACAAACCACATTCTACAGGGATTACAACAACATGGCTCTGTAGTAGAAGAGTCCTGCTGATAAACCAGCCTGCCTGCAGTCCTGATTTTTCCCCCCGTTACATTTGGAGAATCGTGACACCAAAAACAGGACAAAGGAGACCCTGAACTCTTGAGCAGCTAAAACCATGTATGAGTCAGATAGAGAGGTGGAGGTCTGATGATAGCCTGAAGAGTCAACATGATTAAGTGCTCTGAACTCTATATTGCGCTGAGTGGCACAGTCAGCAGAAATTTTGTTGTACTTGTTGCAATTCCAGTTTGTGTCTTGTTTTTGCAGATGCACATTGTGAGGCATGTCTCAATCCTGAGGAGGATGCAAATATGAATTTTAACCTCTGGTATCTTTAATGACACAGCATTTCATCCTATTAAGTTTCGCTGATTGTTTGAGGTCTTTAGATAAAAGTGATTTTTTTAAGTCTCTAATCAAAGTTTTCAGAAGTCTGGAGTAATGCTGGACGATAATTCGATAACAATATATATCGATTGGGGGCATTCAGCAGGGGTGCATTCTACGACACAACACCGGCGTGGATAAGTCCTGCTTCTCGTGCTCAGTTTGCGTATTAAGTCAATCACATGATAATTAAAAAAAATAAATCTCCCGACCCCGGGAGAAATATTTCAGTGTTCAGACACCAGGCTGTGGGCAGTTAAAACTGTTAGTATGCTATTCCTACCTAAAGCTATTCTGTTTATTTATATATTTGTTTGTTTTGTTTATTTTCATCAAAAGGCTATTTAAATATTTATTTATCAGATTTTCTGGTCACTTTAGTCTTTATGTTTGTCAGTATTTACTCACGTCACTCAGGCCACTTAAGTTGATTTCTTTTTTTTTTAAGTTCTTTTTTAAAAAAACTTTCAGTTGTGGTAAAAAAAATAAGGTGGTTGAATAAAGGTTTGAATTTGAATTCAGTGCTTGTGTGTTCTTTATTAAAAGTAGGTCATTAAGCAATAGCATAAAACATCCAGGGCTGCAATTAAAATATATGTTAATTTTTTTTTATAATTATCGATCAATATGATTTATTTTTTATCGATATGCTTTTTTTCTATATCGTCCAGGCCTCGTCTGGAGTGACAAATATTCAACTTCTTACTGTTCCAGGGAGGAGAGTTTGTCTCTAAACGTTAGTGGTTCAGCCTTTGATTCATCATCCCTGAAGAACACACAGCCAAGCTCAGACCCAGACTCGGCTCCAGGTTCTGATCCAGGTTTTGGGGACTCTGGTTTCTTTTGAATCCTAATGGAGAAGAAGGAAGAATTAGGTGTAAATCATTTTTAATTTTCAGCCACAGAAGCTACAGGAGAAAAGCAGGAAAGGATGGACAAGTTTCAGACTGACAGTGACCCTGGAGGATTCCTGTTCGATAGGTCGATTCCAGATTAGATATGATTGTTACTCTGAACTCACCCGAAAACAGGGACAGGGGGTTGTTTTTGAAACTGAAGGGGATCAGCCATAGACTGGTGGCTCCTGAGGGACACACAGCTGGGTTCAAGCCATGGGTCAGTATCAGGGACGTCTGATCTCTCGCAGACCCTACAGGACCACAGGGTTAATTTTTTTTGACATATCCATGCTAGGATCAGATCAGTTTTTCCACAGGTATGACCCTCCAGAAGGTGGACTTGTGTCTAATCTGATGGACTCACTTGTTTTTGAAGGCGGGTCGTCTCTGAACCAGTACGGGGGGACTCATGCTGAATCCTTGTGGACTCTGTCGTAAAAACAATGAAAATGAAACACGTGAGAAATAATGAGGATTAAACAGACATTCTTCTCATTTTTAAAGATGTGGCAATGCTGCACTTCAGATTATTCTAAAGAGACATGCAGGATGGTGTCGGTGCCCTGCTGGGAACATTTCCTGATATTTTGATTTCTTTAAATGTGTTAATAAGTGGACAAAAAATAAGGAACACCTCTCTTTATCCAGCAGACCATGAACCATCAACCGTGTCTTTAGTCACACATTAAAGATCAATAATCAGCTGTTTGATCATGTCAACAAAAAGCTAAAACGTAGAAGCTTAGAAAAGTGGAATTAAAGGCTAAGCTGTTAAACTGGGTTGCATTCAAGTGCTCAGGTGTTCCTAATGTAATGGCAGGTTGGTGAATATGATCCCTCTGTGCGCACTAGTCTAAATATTCAGACTCTCGTTGTTGTTCAGCAGGTTGTAAACCTATTCAGTTCAGACTTTAAATTTATATGGAGAAAAAAAAACACAAAGATTAAAAATTCCAAAAAAGAAAGAAACAGTAAAAAAGAAACAACAAAAAGAGCAGAAAATGCATTATAGAGATGTGACATTCGTGAACGAGTCAGTCGTTTGAACGGCTCTTTTAAGTGAACAACAAGAACACAAGTTTGTCTTCACATTTCTATCATGGCTTATTTTTTTATCAGTTATCTGTCGTTTCAGTTGAGCCATGAAGAATCTTGGGTGACGGAAATATTCAGAACAGTGATCTCTGTGAAAGCATGGGGGTATGACAGCACCTTGTGGAATGTTTACAACAAAAACAAAAGCCAAATGAAACTATAATCAAAGTTCAGAATACTTCCCACCCATATACACCTTTGGTTGACTTCTGGCAAATAAATAAAGATAAAGATGAGCCAGACTTTTAAATGACTCCTCAAGATTCAGCTTCTGTCAAAGAGCCAAACTGTTTTGATTTGCATTTGACTCTGTTTGTGCTTCTTTTAATCATTAACCCTGAAGTTTCTCTTGATCCCATAACTTCATATTTTATTGCGGCAATCAGGATCATTTAGTTTATTGTCTCCGTTATAAAAACATTAACTGTTGACTTTGAGCTTTTTTTTTTTTTACAGCTACTAGCATACCCTCAGTGAAGCCCAGAGTTACACAGATTTTTAAGGAGAGGTTTGTTTTTGCTTTATTGTAAATTTATGAATGAAATACTTTCATTCTGCCAATTAAATCCCCTTTACTGTTTTTAAATACAGTAAAACACTTTAAGAGGTTTCATAAAATAGGATAAGATAAATCTGACTGATATCAGTGACTTTGTCGACCAGAAAAAAAGGTTTTCAAGGAGCATAAAACTAAACACATGGTTAATTATTACTCATTGATTAATTTTTTTAAAGATAACTTAGTAAATGTATTAATATGTTAAAATTGTGACAGAGTGATTAAACAGGAAACGGGTGGGAAATAAAACAGTTTAAGGCAGAGAAAAGACAAAAATTCATGCTGTTATTTAAAACTCTGTTTTATTTGTCTATTGGTAGATTTTAGTCTTTTAACTTTGTTTATGTTGGTCTTTGGTGTTTTTTCAATTTTACTTTATCTTTTCTCCTTTCTATCATTCATATCCATCTTATTTCTCTCTGTTTGTCTTTTTCGCTTATTTTAAAACTTGTGAATCTTTATTCTTCAGTTCATTTTGGTCAGTAAAGCACTGGCTAACCCTCTTTTACAAAAGCACTATATGACTTAAGTTTACTGATATTATTGTGGTCACTTGTAATCCTTTACCCTCACATCCTAATCTGTTGGTGTTGTTCCTTTCAGCTGACAAACTCACTTAGACTGTCTTAAATCTAAGTTTGTTCAACAGAGGACAGTTACTAGGGACATCATTTGAACCTTTTTGGAGTATTTACACTGAAAAGACAAGACAAGGTTCACAGTGTGTGATCAGTTTGCATGCTCATTGTGACAGCAGATGTTACCAGGTCAACAAAGAATGTGGGTGAATCATGTATTCATTATATTCATTAGGTGTTATGATCAGGGAGTGAGTCAGAGTTACATCATGTTGAAACTGAAAAAGGAACAAACTCAGATTAGATCTAAACACTCTGTACTGTCTGAGAGCTCATCGCTCTCTGTTGACTACAACAAACCCTCTACACTCAAATACTGATGAGAAATGTTTCTCGAGAGGTTCAGACTTACCTGCACAGGTAGGCTGGAGACTTTACTAAGAGGAGGGGGAGATGGGTTACATCTGTTCCCGACAAAATCCGTTGAGTTCGCTTAAAAATAAAGAGCTCCGTCTGAGAAGACAGGACGGAGACGTGTTCAGTGTTCTCTGAAAACGGAGCAGGAGGGGGTACTGTTGTGGGTACGAGTCACGAGGAGAAAAACAAGGAAAAGGCAGACACACAGAGAGAGAGAGAGAGAGAGAGAGAGAGAGAGAGAGAGAGAGAGAAAGGGAGGGCTGGGCAGGACGCAGAGGGAGGTCACGTGTTGGTAACTCTAGTAGTCGGGCGGACTTTCCAATTTTGGTCGCCAGGCTTTAGACCCCGCCCATAACAACATGTCTGCTCTATATATGATGACGCAAATGTAAGGAGAGGAATTTAGGTCACTAGGATTGGCTGCCATGGGGAGTGATTTACTTTTATTTTCACAGATAAACCTGTATGAGTTGGCACTGTAGTGACACAGTCTGACCACAAGAGGGCAGCATTACTATCATAATCATTCATAAAATTATGATAACAACAAATTAATATGTAATTTAAAAATATAACATTACCATGTCTGCTCTCCTTAATATAACATTAAATTAAAGTCAATTAAATATAATTTTAAATAATATAAATTACTTTTATGCTGATGTATACTGGACTTTAAATTTGTAAAATGTTGCAAAATGTTAAAATTCTAACATTTACAAATTGTTTTAAGTATGATCTTATTGTTAAACTGTGTTTTTGGTAATAATATATATAAGTCATTATAGATATTTACCAATTTATCGGCTTCCCCTTATTTCATGTCAACCCTGTTAGGGTCCCCGGTTGTGGAACAGCCTGCCGGAGAGCCTTAGAGCCGCAGAGACTGTTGATATTTTTAAGAAGAGGCCCAAGACTTACCTTTTTAACCAGGCTTTTTACTAATTGTCTTTTTATATTTCTTTTATTGCAAATGTTCATTTTAATCGAAGGTCTTATTGTTTACTTTATGTAATTTTATTGAATTATCTCTGTTCTTAGTCTTTTTTCTTAATTCCCATCACAGGTTTTTACATCTTTTACCCCTTTTTATATGGTAAAGAGATTTTACTTATCTGTTCATTTAATATTATTTTCTTATTTTAGTCCATCAGGTTTTATTTTTTCTTTTCACCATTTTTAACTCTTTTTTTTTTTTATCTCCGCTGTTTCCCAAAGGTAGCGCTTTCCTCACATAATGTCTCGGTGTCAGGCCATGTCTCTTTAACAATATATCTTCAATTCTTACACTGTGTGCGGTTGTCTGTGCATATGTGTGGGTGAGTGAGTGAGGGTGGGTGTGTGCCTTTGTGTGCATGTGTGTCCATGGGTGTGTGTGTGGATGGGAGGGTTGGATTTTATTGTCGTTATTGTTGTTTTTAGCCTCTGTGAGGCACTTTGAATTGCATTTTTTGTATGAAAAGTGCCATACAAATAAAGTTGAATTTGAATTTAATACTCCTAACTTTGCATTTGTTTATATTTAACAACTCAACAATGTTATTTTTGTAACTTTGCAACTTTATTCTTAAAATTATGCATTAATTCCTTGTACCTTTTCAACTTTCTTATTAATTCGTTATTTTACTTGTTTTTTAAAATCTTTTTACTTCCTCAGTGTGACGTTGAATATCAAAAGTTTAAAACACATTAAAAAGTGTTACGCTGATTTACACATATCCAAACCATAAATGTTCCTTTCTTAAAAGTCTCATTTAGGTCTGAAATCTGTAATGAATTCCAAAATAAAATCCAACTTTTTGTCACATTGAATTACTTTGAATAACATGTCCTTCCTGTACAGTTTTAGGAGACTTATGGGAGCTTTTTGTTTATACAGGAGTGAAGAGGAAAGTCAGAGTTTAGGGCAGAAAGAATAACCAAAAATTTCCATCAAGTTAACAAACTCACAGACTTGAATTGTTTAATTTTCATTTTTATTTAAGACACAGGACACTCCATACTCTAAATCCTGTGATTCCTGAGGCTTCATTTTTTCTGTTTAACCACAAACTGAACTTCCAGTTTATGCTCCTACTCCTCGGGGTCATGTGCTCCGTACCCAAGTCGGTCTGCAGAGGGGAAATGAGCCCAGAAGGTTCTGGCAAGCTGCTCGATTTGTTCGTATCCGGCATGTTTCCGAAGTTCCTCGACCCAGCCGAAGAAATCATCGGAGGTCATCGCCCAGTTTGGGATGCTGCGCCTCCCTCGCCCGGCTGCAGAGGGTGATAAAGAGACAGGTTGGTGGACAGGTGTGTAGGTTACGTGCATGTCACTAAGGAGTTTGTCATAAAAATAAGCTCACACTCACCTTCACCTGTATCCTCGTCTGCACCTGAAACACACCATTGAAAAAAGTTAGACACCACAGGCAGACTTAAACCATTTAATTTGATTGTATAATCCTGGCTTTAAGTCAGTTTTTAAACATGATAAACAAACTAAAAGTTTATTAAACACATATTAAATGATAAGACAAAGTAAGAAGATTAAATTATTAAATTATTAAAATAATGAAATAAATGAAAAAGTACAAAAATATAAAAATAAAGTATGATCTAAGATATGTAAAATACATTTATATTTTGTAAATATATGAAATTGTACGAAACAGATTACAATATAATGAGATGATGAAATCACAACTTTGTGTGTTTAGTCTTTTAAACATTTGCTTTCTGGTCTGGTCCCTAAAAAAAAACCCATCACTGACCCTTTCCTCATTTCTAAATGAAAGAGAATCCTGCTGTATTAAAGACAGATACTGAAAACTCCAGACTCAGACCACAAATTTATGAGGAACATATTTACTGACGGAATTAATCAGCTGACAGAGAGGCACACTGACATTACAGGCAGAGGAGTCACCCCTTGCTGGACATCAGAGAGACCCTTTTACATTGAGGAGATATGCAACCATAGTGAAAACTTTAAAATGAAGTGCAGTTGCTTTATAAACACTGTGAGGATAAAACATTTCAGCTCAGGAATGTTCTTCAATCTTTAATTCAGTCTGTGAGTAAGGTGAAATTCCAGCTGCAAAGGAGACAGACTTGGTCATGTAAAAATCAGTGAGAGTGAGAACTCTTCTTTTTCACACTCTCTCTGCTCACTCAAACAGGAAGAGGTGGAGGTTTGTTTTCACGCTGCTCTGTCACCTTCAGCACTGGCACTCTAAAATAACCTCCAGGTGAGAGATGCTCCGTCTGCTCTTCACCCTGGGTTTTGTGTCTCAGAAGTAACTCAACCTGAGGACATTTAAGTTGTTTCTATCCTCTAAAACAGTGGCTCTCAAGTCCAGTCCTCAAGGTCCACTGTACTGCATGTTTTGGATGTTTCCCTGCTCCAACACACCTGATTCAAATGACCAGCTCGTTATCAAGCTCTGTAATGGCTTACTAACGAGCTGATCATTTGAATCAGGTGTGTTAGAGCAGGGAAACATCCAAAACTGGACTGGACTTGAGAACCACTGCTCTAAAATACTTACACACAGACTGTTTACCAAGTTTAGAGCCAAAATAAGTGGAAAAAAACAATAAGAGAAAACAAGAACTAATGTGGGTCAGAGGTCTTTCACAGCAAAAAAGAATCAGGAACAGAAAAACACGACTGAGGAAGTCAGGGGAGGAAGAATATTTCAGTCTCTGTGCGTTACAGGAAAGCTGTCAGTATCATGGGAAATCTTGGACATGAATCGTATATGGAGGAAAAATCGAAAACAATCAAGAGTGACAACAAAACTATTGCAAAATGTAAAAATCTGAGGTCAACACAATGAGCCAGACTTTTTGCCTGGGCCACTGAGGTATAGAGGTGGCCAGGTGTTAAACATCCACTTTAACTTCTAATATAAATCTCTCTGGATCTCTCTGGAATAAGCGCATGACGCCATAGCAATGCGTTGAACGTGATGTAAATGTCAGGTTTGGACACTTTCGATCTTCTCTGTTCATTCACATTTGTGTTACATCCAATCATGTCTTTATATGTGATCAATCAAATCATTTAATCTACATTTGATGTGAACACATTACACTCTTGTATTTAGTCTCTGAGTATGAATGTTACTCTCAACAGAGTGACGACATTTAAATCTGCTGAATTCAATCCTTTAAGGGCTTAAAAAACATACTTGTTTGATTGAACAACAAAGAAACTCCCCGCAACCTGCTAAACAAAACACATATACTGTAAATACTGCCTCTGACAGCCAGTCAGGCCTCTGCCACTGAAGACATGTAGAGGTTAAAGTTTTCTTTTTACCTGCAGGAATTAGCAGCAGGACAGAGAGGACGAGAACGCTCAGGAGGAGACACTTGAACATGATACAGCTGAAAAAGTAAAAACACACTGTTGATACAGAGCATACGAACCCACAAACACACTGGTTAACAGATGAAAGTAATAATCACTGTATCTGATGAACTACTTTAAGCTATGTCTTTTTGTCCTGAGGGTTTGATTCGTCAGACACAGAAACAGAAAACATAAATCAGCTCAAACACCTCATAACAGTTTTTAACCTCAAAATATATATATTTAAAGGCGGACAGAAAATGAGAGAACAAATCAGAGTATACAAATACTTTTATATTTCAGTAACTTTAGTCTAACTCTGACAAACTTCCAACACCATAGAATAATTTTGAAGGTTTTTCAGATCCTGTAAAGAATAGAAAACTAGAGTTATGATCTCCAGCTCTGAGAGAATGAAAAAGAAGAAAAGATCTTTACCTGGACTTGCAGACCTGAACCTGTAAACCTGGACCTGTAGATTTCTGTGAGTCTTCTGGTCTCTGCTTTCGTTTTTCTCTTTTTGAGGATTTTAAATCTTTCCACTCCTCACACCTCCCCTCCACATGGCTGGGCTGACCTTTGACCTTTGCAGCATGAATGGACGTCTGTTTTTCTTCGTTTTGACTGAACACACAAACTGTAACTGAAACAACTACAAACTCACTGAAGAGAAAACATTTGACAACTAAAGCTATCATTGTCACACAATAATCATATTTAATCACACATTAAAATGTTGCAAAAGTTTAAAAAAAAAGAACTCTATAAAAATATTCAAGACAGGTAAATCACATCAAGATTTGACTTTAATCTTTAAGCCGTTTTGAATCAGTAAGATCCTGCCAAAATAAACTTAGAGTCCAAAACATCAGAGGCCTGAAACCATCACTGTATTGAAATCTTGGTAACGCTTTCTTTTATGGTATACTTATTACCAGGTAATAACAGGTAATTATCTAGTAACAACATGGAATTATCTGGTAATTACATGATAACTACTAAGTCAATACTGTCTAGTTTTTCTTTTTTCTGTGCAGCTCCATTTTCAAAAGCTATTTGGGGTTCTTATTTTCTATGATCGACACTTGATACAGCCTATGGGCGTGCGAAGATTGCGTAGCGATACGCTGTTTGAGCCGAGCATTATCACAGCGACTCACCCGCCAGAATGCGTACAATTCTACTGCGCAAGTGGTGGTTCCAGGAAGCGGAGAAAATCATGGAAATACCAGAGCAATTCGGCTTCAAATTTGTATGATGATGGAAGGTTACCTACCTGGTAGCTAGACAGTATTGACTAAGTAGTTGTCATGTAATTACTAAATAATTTCATGTTGTTACTAGGTAATTACCTGTTAATTACCTGGTAATAAGTGTACCGTAAAAGAAAGCATTACCGTAATCTTGAGGTAAAAAAAAGCCTCTTTCCCTTTTCTGGTTTCAGTGCTGACTTCAGAGAGTTAGTTTGAGATACTGCTGAAGTCAAATTCAAAAGACTGTCTTTAACAGAGGGAAATGTTGGAATGGTTGATGTCTGACTACTTCACAGTCCTTTCTAAACAATAAAATAAAGCAGAGATCTGTTCCCCCTCAAACATTAGGGGTCAGTTTAATTAGTTAACACTGATGAGTTGTGATTGGACAAGACTGTCCTCCTGGACAACAGTATCTGCAAGTTTCTGCTGACAGTGTATCTTTTTGATGAACCATTGCAGTTTTCAGGGCTAAATGCGACTGATCTGTTCAGGACTGATGTTATTTCTCTAACAAAGAACACAGAGACAGTGAGGAACCAGGTCTGGACCATGTCCAGAATCCAAACCCTGGATACAGAGGTTCAGTGAAGGTGGAGTTGAAGGTGTGGAGGTGGATCAGTGAGTCAGAGGAGACTTTGTAGAAGGATAGAGTGCCAGCAGGACAGTCCACATATACTGCCACCTTGTGGGAGGAGGAGGAGGAGGAGGAGGGGGAGGAGGTGATGGAGATTGGTATCCTTTTGTTGTTGCGCCAAACTGAGTAACCACCATCGGAACAGCTGAGACACCAGGAAAGACCAGTCACTCCAAACATACACTCCTCACTGTCTCCCTTCCTGCTGATGCCTCTGTAAGTCATGCATATTTTAACTCCTCCTCTGTACTCCACCTCCAGGTAGCAGCGGCCGGTCAAACCATCTTTACACAGCAGCTGACGACACCAGAAGTCAAACCTGTCCGGATGATCAGGATATGACTGATTCTCCTCTACATACGTCACCATCCTGTTGTGGTCTGAGAGTTTCAGGTTTTGGTTCACAGTGTTCATGTCAAAGGTGAGTTGACAAGAATCTGATGGACGCAAAGGGACGCATTAGAGCCACAGGTCTACATGAGGAACATTCAAAGATAGCTGGATATTTGCTTCTTTGTCACGATTGATCAAATAAGAAGTAAACTTACACTTCTTCAGACCTGGTTTCAACCACTGGACTCCACCTGGCTCCACCCTGAAAGGACAGAGGTTTTAGATCACCACATCCTCTATCATACATGTTGTACTTCACTGAGAGGTTACCAAGATTTACTGGGGTCAGATCTCTTAGTATTGAAGTCCCCCTACCCACTCTATCAAAAGTTCTTTAGTTATCAGTTTCCTTCTGTTGCCATTCATTTGCTAAGCTAGGCTTGACCGTTTGTATACAAGTCATACTCAGCTGCTGTGGGTAGGAGTCAAAGGCAGATGTTCTTTGAATTCCTTTAAAATGTAGAAGTTTGTCTTTCCCTACCTTAGAGTGCTCAGTTTCCACTGTGGGTTCTCCAGCCCTTCGGTCACGAGCTTTATTGGGTCTCCTGGGTTGTTGTAACTCAAGTCCAGCTCTCTCAGGTAGGTGGGGTGGGAACTCAAAGCTGAGGCCAGAGAAACACAGCCTTCCTCTGTGATCAGACAGCCAGACAAACTGCAAAGACACAAGAAAACACACATAGCAGATGATCTTAAGGGCTCATTTATGCTCGCGATACATATGAAAATGTACGCATCCGTTTCAAACGATGGTTCTGTCACTGCCTACATACTTCCATGTGTCCTTTACGTTGGCATGGATGTTAACCATTACATTCACCACAGGGCAGGCAGGAATCAAAAGTTTCTGACAACAACAAACAAAAAGAAACATGGCGACTGTGGAGGAGCAAGTGATAATATATTTTATTTAGGAGGCGGTGGTTGGTCAGGCCACGAAATGCCTTTCGGTTGGAGGACGGAGAATTCTTTTGTCAAGTAGTACCGATGAAAAAAATTGACGATGATCCTCAAAAAGCCCCGCCATTGTCGTCTTTGTTTCTCTCAAGAGATACGTATCGTGTAGTGACAGCAGCAACACTGCCCCCATGGATTCCGGTGGTACTGCTCTGTCTGGCCTGTATCCGTAAACTTCAAGGATACATGCAGAAATACTGACGAAAAGAACGCAAAGCATGGACGAAGAGCTTGTACCCTAGCAACACAGGACCCATTTCATCCTCTGAGCTGGGCAGCAGATGTTGGAGCAGGAGGCCTGTGACAACAGGGGGAGATTGTTGCATCTCAAAGATAATAAGGATGTGTCTTTTGGGCTGTTCCTCGTCAGGTCCAAAGGGTCAAGACCTTTCCCTTCCCCTTATGCTCCCTGATTCTACAAGGTACGGCTCAAGTTTAATCAAAGACCCTTCAAGAATTCATCTTAGCTTGCTTCCTAGACTTAAAATACTTCTTAGTTGAATGAGTGAAAGAATCTTGACCTGAGGGTTTCCAGTGCACAATGTGAATTCCCAAGCCCATCAGAAAGCAGCTTCACTCCTGCATCCTTCAGGTCGTTGTTACTCAGGTCCAGATCCCTCAGATTAGTGGACTGGGAGCTGAGGACTGAGGACAGAGCTTCACAGCTTCTCTCTGAGAGGTTACAGCCACTCAGCCTGAGGAGACATTAAAAGACACAAGTAATAAATAAAGAGTATTTCCTCTTGTCAGAAAATAGCCACAGATTTCATGATAACAAATCTTTCTTACACAGCTTTCCTGGAAGCCTTTACAACTGGCATCAGCCTCAGAAGGGCTTCCTCTGAGGCACAGTATTTCTTCAGGTCAAACTCATCCAGATCTTTCTCTGATGACAGTAAGATGAAGGCCACAGCTGACCACTGACCAGGTGACAGGTTCTCCGAGGACAGGCTTCCTGATTTTAGGGACTGTTGGATCTTCTCCACCATAGAGCGATCTTTCAGTTCATTCAGACAGTGGAACAGATTGATGCTTTTCTCAACATTAGGGGCCTCTTCAATCTTACTCTTGATGTACATTATTGTGTCCTCATTGTTTTCTGAGCTTCTTCCTGTCTGAGTCAGAAGACCTCGTAGGAGAGTCTGATTGGTCTGCAGTGAAAGTCCCAGGAGGAAGCGGAGGAACAAGTCCAGATGTCCATTTGGACTCTGTAAGGCCTTGTCCACAGCACTCTGGTTGAACTCTGTCATTGTAGATCCATGGTAGGTTGATGGATCTTCTGACAGCAGGTTGGCTCCGGAGTTGCTAAAGGTCAGGTGGACATGAAGAGCAGCCAGAAACTCTTGAACACTCAGATGGATGAAGCAGAACACCTTGTCCCGATACAGTCCTCTCTCCTCTCTGAAGATCTGAGTAAAAACTCCTGTGTACCAAGAGGCTTCTTTGATATTGATGCCACACTCTATCAGGTCTGATTCATAGAAGATCAGGTTTCCTTTCTGCAGTTGCTCAAAAGCCAGTTTTCCCAGAGACTCAATCATCTCATTCCACTTTGTTCCAGAATCCATCTCAGCCGCTCCTTCATACTTGATGTTCCTTCTTTTAGACTGAACCACCAGGAAATAAATGTACATCTCAGTTAAGTTCTTGGGCAGCTCTCCTCCCTTTCTGGTGTTCAGTACATCCTCCAGAACTGTGGCAGTGATCCAGCAGAAGACCGGGATGTGGCACATGATGTGGAGACTTCTAGACGTCTTGATGTGGGAGATGATTTTGCCGGCCTTATCTCTGAACCGCTTTCTGAAGTACTCCTCCTTCTGAGGGTCACTGAATCCTCTGATCTCTGTCACCATGTCCACACACTCAGGAGGGATCTGACTGGCTGCTGCAGGTCTTGTGGTTATCCAGAGGCGAGCAGAGGGAAGCAGGTTCCCCCTGATGAGGTTTGTCAGCAGCACATCCACTGAGCTGGACTTTGTAACATCAGTCAGGACCTCATTGTTGTGGAAGTCCAGAGGAAGTCGACACTCATCCAGACCGTCAAAGATGAACACGACCTGGAACTTTTCAAAGCTGCAGATTCCTGCTTCTTTGGTTTCTGTGAAGAAGAAATGAACGAGCTCCACCAAGCTTAACTTTCTCTCCTTCAGCACATTCAGCTCTCTGAAGGTGAATGGAAATATGAAGTGGATGTCCCGGTTGGCTTTGTCTTCAGCCCAGTCCAGAGTGAACTTCTGTGTTAAGACGGTTTTCCCAATGCCAGCCACTCCCTTTGTCATCACTGTTCTGATTGGTTTATCTCTCTCTGGTAATGGTTTAAAGATGTCTTCCTGTCTGATGGTTGATTCTGGTCTGTCTGGCTTCCTGGACGTTGTTTCGATCAGTCTGACCTCGTGTCCGTCGCTGACCTCTCCAGTCTCTTCCTCAGTGATGTAGAGCTCTGTGTAGATCTGGTTCAGAAGGGTTGGGTTTCCAGCTTTAGCAATCCCTTCAAAGACACACTGGAACTTCTCCTTCAGGTTGGATTTCATTTTATGCTGAAAAACTGAAGCAGGAAGTCCTGGATAAAAACAGAGGAAAGGACTTCATCAAGCAACGGCAGAAGATCATATGACCTTTAAGGATTTTATATACATATGAATACAGTCCCTTCATTTCTCTTGGGATATCAGACAACATCAGCATCTTCAATCTTAGAACTTGTCTTACTGCTCTGCAGACAGTCAGCCAGTTCCTCCTGGTTCATTCTCCTAAGGAAGTCCACTGTCATCTTCAGAAAGGCCTCCCTGATGGTCCTAGTTTGCCCTTCAGAATCACCATCAAAGACCTCTTCACTTGCTCTCTGACTCTCTGAGGTTTTCACACCTCTAAGGATGTTCTTCAGCTCCTGCTTTACAAAGGTGACAATGTTCTCTTCCAGCATCTGCAACAGAGCAATTCATGTGAGTGACACCAGACATCAGGTCCAGGTTGGACAGTGTAGAAGTATAGAGCACAGAATGGATGTGAAGTCATAGTACCACAAACCATAAATATGGAATCCAGGTTTTTAGGCTGTTGCTGGGTAGACTGACCAATGACAACCTCAGAACTCTCCTGGTTGACTCTGTGGAAGAATCACAAAGAATCATACCAGATGGTTCCCACTCTCTCGTATGTTTCTGGTGGGTTTCAGTTTCCCTATCAAAACCATGTTAAACAACTGGTTCCTATTTAACTATTTCTGGCAAGTCTCAACTTCTCCAACATCTGACCAAGATACCAAACCTTGGTCTTTACAGGTGCTGCAGATGTTTGCAGAAGTTTAAGATACGATTTTAGTGAAGGTGCCTTGTTCTGGATCTGTTCATACTGTTTCCATTAGGCTCTTGGGCTCAGAAAACTTTGGTTGCAACAGTCCATTAAAGGTGGGGTTGGCAGGAATCCGTTAAAGAAGCATCTTTTTTTGTGATGTATATACAAAAAAGCTTTTAATATCAGTCAATAGCTATTAGATATTGATGACATTTGGTAATACAACGATATCTCTGTGTTTTGTTTTGTCTGTGTAGTCAACTTTTTAACATTTCAGAACGCTCGGCTCTTTCTGACTCTAAACAAAGCCGTTCTCCACCTCCCCGACCTGATCAGTTGTGAGGCAAACGCTACTCCCCCGTGCCGTTCACAAGCCCAAACAAAGTAAGCGTGCTGCAATATTGGACAGTGGAGACCAACCAGAAAGTACATAAAATTGTCTGAATCCTCCTTTGGCCGCAACTGCCAATGTAAGCGAGAAAAAGAAGTAAATACCGGAGACTCTGGCGGAATAATGGGCGCTTAAAAAGGAGGTAGACCGGACAAGAGCTAAAAAGCCGGGTCAGAAGCACAAATGATGGGGGACACTTCGGATCTTAGGGACACTGTAACCTTTCTGCTGGACAGGTAAACCGCTTTAACAAAGTAAGCCAAGTGTTTCTTGTCAAATGGGACCTGCTGCGTGTTGTAGCACCACTAAACTGTTTCCCTCGGGTCCTGGAGTTTGTCACTTTATCCTAGTTGTAGAAGTCCTGCAAACGTTGTGTTTGCTGGTAGTCTGTTGGCATCAAAAACTGGCACTTCCTCAGATCCTGCCTGTCCCACCTTTAAGAGTCATCCAAAATAAAACACAGTAACCTGGAAAGTGTGATCTGACAGATATTTAGCACTAAAAATAAAAGTCTGCTAAGGATGAATATCACCTCAATTACAGCTCAGGTGCAGTTTTGTGAGTTGTTGGTCTATCAACAGCGGTGTACTGATCGTCTTTGTTTACACCAGAATAACAAAAAAAAGAAAGTGCTCTTGCTCTTACTGGGATTAAAAATAACTTGCTTGTGCAGTATGAAGACCTCTGGTACTTTTAAGGGGTGTTCAGACCAAACGCGACCTTGGTGACGTCGACAACGGCTCCCAATGCAAAGTCTATGGACAGCCGCGACCTGACGCGACTTGGCGACCGCCGGCTGCCTGCGACCCGACCTGACGCGACTTGGCGACCAGGTCGTGCATGGTCGCCAAGGTCGCGTCACCAAGGTCGCGTTGCCAAGGTCGCGTCGCCCAGGTCGCGTCGCCGAGGTCGCGTCGCCGAGGTCGCAGGACGCCAAATTGCGTCGCTCCCAAAGTTCAAATATTTGAACTTTGGGAGCAACTATCCGCGACTCTGTGCCGCGACAGCCAATCAGGGCTCTGCTGACGTCAACAAACTGGCAAAACAAGGAGGAGGAGAAGAAGAATCACAATGGAGGAGTAGTTTATCACTGCCGTGAGTTATCACCCGGTCCTGTACGACGTGGGGTGCGCATTTTACCGGGACCGCACCTCCAAGGAGGAGGCATGGGCGAAGGTGGCCCATGATTTCGGGCTTTCTGGTCGTTTGTTCATTTGTTCAGTGAGCAGTCTATTTTCTGAACACATAGCAAACTTCCCCTGCTTGCTAGGCTACATGCTTCAACGTGTGTTTGTGTGTGTGTGCCGCGAGCGCTGGAAGGGGCTGCGGGATGTATATATGAGGGAGAAAAGGAGGGAGAAGGAAGGTGAGAGAAGCGGGTCAGCGGCGACCAGCCGCGTCCTGCGACCGCAGCTTTGGACCCGTTGTGAACACACCAAGGTACCACGCGACGTGACCGACGCGACGCGACCTGGTCGCATTTGGTCTGAACACCCCTTTAGGTTGATTCTATAGGCTAAGATCTGACTAGCTAGAGGTCATAGTTGGGTCACAAAGTGAGATTCTGTGACCATCCTTTGGCAAGGATGTTTTGACGATTGATTTGACCTCTATGGACCCTTTAGAAAAGATTTAGCCCCCAGGTCCCTCGCAAAAATCTCGGCATTTTTTGCTAGACAGCTAAATTCAAGATGGCAGCCAGCGCCATCTCTAAAAATTATCTTTTGATCTGGATGACCTAGAATCATGTATGAAGACACTTTTCCATACAAGTCAAGCATGAGGATTCCAAATCTGACACAGTTTTAATCATACAACTTTGTTTTGACTGCGATATTCAAGATGGCTGCCATCTAGTACTGTGATTCTCAACCTTTTCAGGACTTGATCCCCCAAAACAATCATATTTGAACTGGATAATTTGATTGTCAACTGATTTGTTGACTCTGTTCCACATATAGATATTGTGAAAATAGCCGATCTACAAGCCCGTAACACATGGGGCTCTATTTTCATGCCTTGCCGGAGACGTGCCGCAGGCGTGGCGTAAGTCAGGTCCGCCGCGCCGACAAGGCGTTCCTAAGCACAATTTGGTATTTTGGTGAGCGACGCAGCCCAGCGTAAGTATCCCCCCTCCCTAACTCAGCTCCTACCAGCGGCGTAAGTCGTAGCGAGGGAGGAGAAAGGGCGTGGAGTGGGTTTAACACAGCTGAGACCTATATTGACCAATCACATCAGCTCCTCTCCTCGCCTTTAAATCCGCCACAGGCGAGGCGTATTACTATTTTTATGAAGTAGTCAAAGAGATCAAGAGATGTCTGAAGACAGTAATGCCACACGATGGCAACAGAAGGCAGCTCCTAAACAAGTGTCCTCCACACTCTCTCATATAAGCACAGATGGATTTGGTGTGTGTAATGTTGGACCCACTAGTAAGACAAACACCCTTTTCCACAAATAAAGACACTCACATAGAGTTGCACATATTCAAACCTCACGTGACAAAGGTGGGTACAGATCACAACATAAACTCCAAAAATGGCATTAAAATCGGAACCATCTGTGCGTAAATGACGCATCGCGCTCCGTGGCCTGGCTCTTTCTTTCATAGATGTTGGCATGTAAAATAAATTTGGCTCACAAAACTGAATATTATAATATTCATATGTAGGCTTTAAGTAAATAACTCATCTGATCACTGAAACAATTCATCTGTTCAGCCGCTGCAGCAGCAGCTGTAGCAGGATGGAGAGAGGACACAGAAATATCCAGGTCGAGCTGCGCGAGAAATAAGAGGAAGAGGAAGAAAGAAAAGGAGGGAGACAAATTAAATTTCTTGTTAACTTCATCTTGTGTGTTTATTTACTAGATATTCAATTTAATGTGGTTTCAGCTGTGTTGATTCGGTCAGGTTGTGTGTCCAAACGCGCTCATCAGATCAGATATAGATCAGAATATATCTATATAGATCTAAATGTATGTGCTGACTCAGATTATTAGTTGTTGATGATTATTCATTGCACTGAAACGTGCCTGACACTGTGGAAACCTGCCGGTGAGGCATCGGTGACGTATGCCGATACGCCGCCAGTCTACCAAAATACTAGTAGACTAGCTGCGCTCCGCCATGCGCTGAAAGCTGACCAGGTTTGAATCGGCGAGCTTTCAGCGCACTTTACACGCCACTGACGAGCACAAAAATGTCACTGCGCCCGCTGATTCTGTCGACACCTCCCCCTGCCACGCCACCACGCCCAGCTTGGCGGATCTCGGTTCGCCTCCGTGCGCCTCAGTCCATGAAAATACCAAACTGGCTGTACGCCGGGCTCCGCCAGAAGAAAATACAACTGCGCGGGGCTCGCCGCCCTCCGCCGCCTCACCGGCGTACACGAAAATAGAGCCCCTTGTATTGTGAGGCGTGTGAGCTTGTAGATCGTCTATTTTCACAATTTTTGCCTTTTCCTTATATTATTTGACAATTTGGCCAATGGTTTAGCATTGTTTGTTGATTACTTTGGATGCAGTGATGATCTTTTTCTTTGTCAGGGCATGTTAGCACATGCTGCTTGTTTAGTGCTGCTGCTTTCCTAAATGTTGCCTCAGTCATTCTTTTGAGCCCACAGTTAGAGGAGCTACACATTTGATCTGTAAAGACAGTGTGCATGCAGCATACATGGCTGCTTGAATATGGAAGAAAATAATATACCAACCAGGACAGACAGACAGTCATGTATTCTCCAGTGTGGTAGTCTGTGTAATGAAGCCACATATACCATTAAGTCGACCCAAAGATGATCCCTGACATGAAGGGACAGCCAATCAAATTGCCTGAGTTAAGTACTGCTGCTGACATGAATCAAGCATACTGGATAGTTTGAATGCAATATTCACTGGCCTTTATGTTGTTGTTAAGTTTTCTCTCTGTACTTGATCATTGGTTGGTGGCGTACCCCCAGATGACAGTGAAATGATAATGTTAGGACTTGTAAGATCCTCAAAGAAAAAGATCATCACTGCATCCAAAGTAATCAGCAAACAATGCTAAACCATCGGCCAAATTGTCAAATGATATAGAAAAAGGCAAAAACTGTAAAAATAGACGATCTACAAGCTCACACGCCTCACAATACAAGGTGTTACGGGCTTGTAGATCGGCTATTTTCACAAGATCTATATGTGGAACAGAGTCAAACAAATTGGGGGTTACCCAGTTCAAATATGATTGTTTTGGTGGGTCAAGTCCTGAAAAGGTTGAGAATTACAGTACTAGATGGCAGCCATCTTGAATATCGCATTCAAAACAAAGTTGTATGATTAAAACTATGTCAGATTTGGAATCCTCATGCTTGACTTGTATGGAAAAGTGCCTTCATACATGATTCTAGGTCATCCAGATCAAAAGTTAATTTTTAGAGATGGCACCGGCCGCCATCTTGAATTTAGCTGTCTATAGCAAAAAATGCCGGGATTTTTGCAAGGGACCTGGGGGCTAAATCTTTTCTAAAGGGTCCATAGAGGTCAAATCAATCGTCAAAACATCCTTGCCAGAGGATGGTCACAGAATCTCACTTCGTGACCCGACTATCATTATGTTGATAATTATTTCAAAGAACCACTTACTGCTTTTCACTATGACTATGATTTGTGTTTGATAGACCCTGGTTGAAGTCAGTGAAGTGCTGCTTTGACTTGTTGCTCCTGAAGGACAAGCAACTGGGTTCAGGTCTCCCGTTAATCCTGATGGAGAGAGAGAGAGACCATCAGGGATGAGGTTCTCTGAGAAACATGACTGTATTTGGTAGAAATAATAGTCAAACTGTCAAGACTCCCTTACCTTTCGATTTTTTGGGGTAAATGTTGCTGTTTTAAGTCGGTGAAGTGCTGCATTGAATTATTGCTCTTCCAGGACAGAGGGCTGAGTTCAGGTTCAGCAGAGTCTGGTCCCCCATTATTCCTGTTCGACAAGAGAAAGACCAGCAGGGATAAAATTCGTTAGATTAGAACATTTTAGGTAGAAATATAAACCAAAATCTTAACACCAATGCTAACTTACCATTGTTTAAAGTCGGTAAAGTGCTGCTTTGACTTATTGCTCCTGAAGGACAGAAAGCTGGGTTCAGGTCCAGATTCTGATCCCACAGAGTCTTGTCCAGGCTGCAGCTCTGGGCTTTAACAGAAAACACACTGAGGTCTGAGTTTGATCAATGATGAAGTGGTTAGACTGGTGGACAGGTAGAAATCTGAACTCACCTCTGAGCGTCATGATCCTCACACAGAGCAGATTTGGAGGGAGAGAGCTCCTCCTCTCTGTCCTCACACTGATCCATCATGGTGCCTGAAAACTACAGAAACCACATGTTTATTCAGAACAGGAAGCTCTACGTTATCTCTAAGGAAGGATACAACATGAGAGACCCAGTATACACCCCACACAGTTTGATCACCTGCTTTCTAATCGCAGTAATCCTGACTTTCACCATTGTTAAATGGTAAAACTGAAAAATGTTATTGTTTATTGAGAAATATATGCTTACTATAAATCTAATGTCAGCAAAATGTTTGTAAAAAGTTGTTAATGGAACAACCAAAGAGGGTTAGTAACATGACAGAGTACAAAAAGGACATTCAGAGAGGCGGAGTCTCTCAGAAAGAATGATGCAAAGACAAACCACATTCTGCAGGGATTACAACAGCATGGGAAGAGTCCTGCTGAGAAACTGGCCTGACAGCAGTCCTGACTTGTCCCTCATTAAAAATGTTTGGAGCAGCATGTACCTGAACTGTTGAACACTCAAATTCCTCTATCAAGCAAGAATGGGACTTTCCAAACTCCAGGAACTGGTCTGCTGGGTTCACTAATGTTTACAGGGAGTTGGGAATAGAAGGGCCGAGGACACACGACAAGAAATATGATCCTGTAACCAGTTTTTACAAACATATTGCTGACATCAAATTTACAATGAGCAGAGATTTTTCATCAAATAATAACATTTCAACTCAACTCAACTTTATTTGTTAAGCACTTTAAAACAACCACAGCTGAACAAAGTGCTGTACATAACTAGACAAAACGACATAAAAAACAATCAAAAAACAATTAAAACCATGGATAAAATAAAAGCAGAATTAAAAAGTAAAATATAGTTTCAATATTTTTAAAAACTAATTTAAAAACATAGAAACAAATTACTAAAAACAAACCATAAAACACTAAAACAGGAGCCCAGTCTCATGCAGGGTTAAAAGCCAATGAATAAAAAATTATCAGTTCATTATCATTATCATTTATCAGTTTTAAGATTTGGTATGCTGTCTTTATTTTTAGTGGAATGTCAACTTTGAATAATGTAAAAACCATCAAATTCAACTGTTACCACTATTTACACAGCTTTGATGCATTTATTAACAGTAATGTGGATATTTTACTTTTAGTGATGAATAAATCCAGTGTTTTATAGCAGATGCAGAGTTGTTGTAATTAGGGCCGACCATATGGATTTCTTGAGGCTATTGCCGATACCGATTATTAGGGGGTGAAATAAAATCTGATTACAGATTAATTGGCCGATATTGTCAATTTTTTTATAAAGTTATAAATGTATGTATATATATATATATATATATATATACTGCAGATACAGTATACAACCTACTGTATATATACTGTAGGCTACTGCTCTTCACGCTGACAAGAAGACCGACTGATCAAACAGGCAGAACCTTTTTTTTTTTTTTTTAATTTAACAACAAAACAGAGTGACAACAACAACAACAACAAAAAATACTTTTGTGAGGGAGGGGAGGGGGAGAGAATATATATATAGAAGATTAAAAAATTTAAAAAAATTCTTAATTAGATTACATTGAAATATACACTCACCGGCCACTTTATTAGGTACACCATGCTAGTAACGGGTTGGACCCCCTTTTGCCTTCAGAACTGCCTCAATTCTTCGTGGCATAGATTCAACAAGGTGCTGGAAGCATTCCTCAGAGAGCTTGGTCCATATTGACATGATGGCATCACACAGTTGCCGCAGATTTGTCGGCTGCACATCCATGATGCGAATCTCCCGTTCCACCACATCCCAAAGATGCTCTATTGGATTGAGATCTGGTGACTGTGGAGGCCATTTGAGTACAGTGAACTCATTGTAATGTTCAAGAAACCAGTCTGAGATGATTCCAGCTTTATGACATGACGCATTATCCTGCTGAAAGTAGCCATCAGAAGTTGGGTACATTGTGGTCATAAAGGGATGGACATGGTCAGCAACAATACTCAGGTAGGCTGTGGCGTTGCAACGATGCTCAATTGGTACCAAGGGGCCCAAAGAGTGCCAAGAAAATATTCCCCACACCATGACACCACCACCACCAGCCTGAACCGTTGATACAAGGCAGGATAGATCCATGCTTTCATGTTGTTGACGCCAAATTCTGACCCTACCATCCGAATGTCGCAGCAGAAATCGAGACTCATCAGACCAGGCAACGTTTTTCCAATCATCTATTGTCCAATTTCGATGAGCTTGTGCAAATTGTAGCCACAGTTTCCTGTTCTTAGCTGAAAGGATTGGCACCCGGCGTGGTCTTCTGCTGCTGTAGCCCATCTGCCTCAAAGTTCGACGTACTGTGCGTTCAGAGATGCTCTTCTGCCTACCTTGGTTGTAACGGGTGGTTATTTGAGTCACTGTTGCCTTTCTATCAGCTCGAACCAGTCTGGCCATTCTCCTCTGACCTCTGGCATCAACAAGGCATTTCCGCCCACAGAACTGCTGCTCACTGGATATTTTTTCTTTTTCGGTCCATTCTCTGTAAACCCTAGAGATGGTTGTGCGTGAAAATCCCAGTAGATCAGCCGTTTCTGAAATACTCAGACCAGCCCTTCTGGCACCAACAACCATGCCACGTTCAAAGTCACTCAAATCACCTTTCTTCCCCATACTGATGCTCGGTTTGAACTGCAGGAGATTGTCTTGACCATGTCTACATGCCTAAATGCACTAAGTTGCCGCCATGTGATTGGCTGATTAGAAATTTAGTGTTAACGAGCAGTTGGACAGGTGTACCTAATAAAGTGGCCGGTGAGTGTACATATATAATGATAACTATATATATATATATATATATATATATATATATATATATATATATATATATATACATACATACATACATACATACATACACACACACATACACATAATATTGGGGGGAAAGTATGTGTGTGTGTTTGTGTATGTTTATATGTGTATATATTCCCTTTTTTCTCTCTCTCTATTATGGCTGAATATTTTCGAAGTGAAACAGAATCTTATTCTCCACATTTTATCTCTAAAAATATCGGTGAAAATTGGCGAGTTTTGGCCGATTACCGATTAGTCTCAAACAGGCTATAAATTGGCCGATTAAATCGGCTCACCGCTAAATTGGTCAGGCCCTAGTTGTAATCCTGTCTGATTGGATGGTTTACCTGTTTTTACTGTATGAAATGTGCCTGTGCTCAAAGTCTCAAAAGGCTCAAACAATCACACCATAGCTGCTCCTCCAGCATCATGACATTGTCCTTATCTCTAAACTCATTCATGGTGCACAATAATAAGCTGCCAACCTGAACATCTGCTCAGACAAAAGGAGAGTATAATATTTCAAATTGGATTAAAAACAAGGCTTTAAAAGTTGAAAACTCTCTTTAAGACTCTAAAACACCTGCAAACATCAGAGAACGAACACAAAAACTGGGAAACAAGCATGCTGAGTCAGATAAGTGTAACTTACAGTTGCACAGCTGGGAAGAATCTCACTTAGCAGGCGCACAGGTGAGTCGTTTCCTGGAAGAGGGCGGGACTGATGAGAAAATCTGGGACAGGAGCAGAGATTCAAAACACCACACCAGGTATTCATGTGAATGCATACAGTTGACTTTTCTATCCTGTGACATAATTTTGACCACTTGGCAATTAAATTCTTGCATATTTAGATGCTGAACTCATTATACAGTATAATAACTAGTTAATTTGCTCTGATATTATAAATGGAAATTATATTGTATTTAATTTAATTCACTTGTGTTACTCCTTTCTTACCCTCTCCAGAAAAACCAGCTGAATGCAGACTGAATAAAAACTCTAGACTGGTATTCCCTCCAATGTGCTTATTTGTCCTTGCAGACAAACCACTGAGTTGAGCTCCAGAGCGCGAGCCGTTCCGCGCGCGCTGTGTGAACAGTCACATAGGATAACACGGGCGCCGATCCGAAACTCGGTGCGCGGCGCTTCCTGTGTGAACCAGGCGTCAGGCTTTGAAGCGTCACTGTATGTAACGTCTGGTTTCAGCACGAGACACGTCTCTTCTTATGGATAAAGACCGCCTCTTCCGGTCATATTAAATCCTAGACTTCAAGACAGCTTCTCTCTGATTAAAAAACAGATTAGACCTGATGATGGATAACGCTTTAAATAAACTGTAACAAAGGAGCGATAACTGCTCCTTTAACCGGAAAGAGCCCCTCCCGCTGACTGTACCTGACTCCAGTTTCCGCAGCAGCCTTTCACTTACTGCTCCATGTTCCTCTGTCTGCACCGGAGACATCCAACTAAAATAGAGTCTGTATCCATGTCTTTTCTAGAGTTACCCACTTTAGTATGTGTCCACAAAAAAGCTGTGACTTACCGTCAGCTGGACAGTCACTCTGCGTCACAGTTTGTGTGAAAGTGAAACGAAACTTGGAGCACAATGTCCTGCCCGTGAGTTTATGTATTTGGTTCTGCCCACAAGGTGTGACCGTGGCATCTGCTTCTGTGTTTTTATAGTGTGTCGTGTTATCAGCTGCACGGGGCTTCACACAGCTCTATCACCCGCTACTTTATTACCTTTCGGCTAAATCTGAACTCTGAGACGAGTTTATCTTCCAAAGATACATAATCATTAATATGAGTTACTCCACTTAAAACAAACGAGCTCTAAGAGTCAGACGGACAAACACATATGGATGGATGGACGGGAAGGCACTTGTCAACACCTAGTGGTTACTGTAAACCTTGTATAGAACGTATTAATTTGATTACAGTCATAGTAATGAGGCAAGTTCTGCAATTTTAGAGCATAATTTGAATGTACAATAAATGAATGGTGTTACAGTGGTTATAAAAAGTCTACACACCCCTGTTCAACTGCCAGGTTTCTGTCATGTAAAAAAAAAAAATCAAGATAAATAATTTCACAACTTCTTCCAACATAAATGTGACCTAACCTGTACAGCACAATTGAAAAACAAACGGAAATCTCTCAGGGAGGTGAAGTAAAAATAAACAACTGAGATCATGTGGTTGCATAAGTGTGCACACCCTTTAATAACTGGGGATGTGGCTGTGTTCAGATTTAACCAATAACATTCAAACTCAGGTTAAATTGGAGTCAGCACACACCTGTCACCAATTAAAGTGCCTCTGATTAACCCCAAATTAAGTTCAGCTGTTCTAGTTGCTGACATTTTTGTAGACACATCTTCCAGCACAAGCCATGGTCCACAGAGAGCTTCCAAAGCATCAGAGGGATCTCATTATTCAAAGATATCAGTCAGGTGAGGCTACAAAAGAATTTCCGAGGAATTAAATATACCATGGAACTCAGTAAAGACCGTCATCATCAAGTGGAGAAAATATGGCACAACGGTGACATTACCAAGAACAGGACGTCCGTCCAAAATTGACGATAAGACAAGAAGAAAACTGGTCAGGGAGGCTACCAAGAGGCCGACAGCAACACTGAAGGAGCTGCAGGAATTTCTGGCAAGTACTGGCTGTGTAGTACATGTGACAACAATCTGCCACTGTCTTCATATGTCTGGGCTGTGGGGTAGGGTGGCAAGACGGAAGCCTTATCTTACAAAGAAAAACATCAAAGCCCGGCTTAATTTTGCAAAAAGACATCTGAAATCTCCCAAACGCATGTGGGAAAATGTGTTATGGTCTGATGAAACCAAAGTTGAACTTTTAAGGCATCATTGCAAAAGGTATATTTGGCGCAAAATCAACACTGCTCATCACCAAAAGAACACCATACCTACAGTGAAGCATGGTGGTGGCAGCATCATGCTTTGGGGCTGTTTTTCTTCAGCTGGAACTGGTGCCTTAGTCAGGGTGGAGGGAATTATGAACAGTTCCAAATACCAGTCAGTGTTGACACAAAACCTTGGGCCTTCTGCTAGAAAGATGAAGATGAAGAGGAACTTCATCTTTCAGCACCACAATGACCCAAAGCACACATCTAAATCAACAAAAGAATGGCTTCACCGGAACAAGATTGAGACTTTGGAATGGCCCAGCCAGAGTCCAGACCTGAATCCCATCGAACATTTGTGGGGTGATCTGAAGAGGGCTGTGCACAGGAGATGCCCTCACAATCTGTCAGATTTGGAGCAGTTTTGCAAAGAAAAGTGGGCAAATATTTCCACATCAAGATGTGCCACGCTGATAGACTCCTACCCAAAAAGACTGAGTGCTGTAATAAAAGCCAAAGGTGCTGCAACAAAGTATTAGTTTAAGGGTGTGCATATTCATGCAACCAGGTTATTTAAACTTTTCTATTTTTCCCCTTTAAAAGTTTCTGTTTGTTTTTCAATTGTGTTATACAGGTTATAGGTCACATTAAAGGTGGAAAAAAAAATTATCTTGCTGTCACATCACGAAAACCTGGCAGTTGAACAGGGGTGTGTAGACTTTTTATAACCACTGTAAGTGTTAGGAAAATTGTGCGATGAAATTTTATTGAAACCTGTTCCCAGAAATTTAAAAGAAATGGAAAAACCTGGTCGTGATAAAAAGAAGAACAAAAAGAGTAATTATTACAAGAATAAAGCTGAAATTGTGAAAAAGTAAGACAAGAATATGTGATAATGAAAAAAAAAAAACATTAAAATAGAAAGCTTAAAAAATTAATTGTAAAAAATCAGAGTTATATTTGAATTGACCATCTTAAAATTTCAACTTTTTATCCTAAAACTGACCTACTATGTAATAATTATGACGGGATATCTCACTGTTACTTTCTTACACATAGTTATGACTACCCATCTTCTTATTTTGAGTACTTTATAATGTTAAATTACTTTTTTTCTTACCATCTCATAACTGTTACTTTTATCTCACAATTACTATATTACTATATATATATATATATATATATATATATATATATATATATATATATATATATATACACTCACCGGCCACTTTATTAGGTACACCATGCTAGTAACGGGTTGGACCCCCTTTTGCCTTCAGAACTGCCTCAATTCTTCGTGGCATAGATTCAACAAGGTGCTGGAAGCATTCCTCAGAGAGCTTGGTCCATATTGACATGATGGCATCACACAGTTGCCGCAGATTTGTCGGCTGCACATCCATGATGCGAATCTCCCGTTCCACCACATCCCAAAGATGCTCTATTGGATTGAGATCTGGTGACTGTGGAGGCCATTTGAGTACAGTGAACTCATTGTCATGTTCAAGAAACCAGTCTGAGATGATTCCAGCTTTATGACATGGCGCATTATCCTGCTGAAAGTAGCCATCAGAAGTTGGGTACATTGTGGTCATAAAGGGATGGACATGGTCAGCAACAATACTCAGGTAGGCTGTGGCGTTGCAACGATGCTCAATTGGTACCAAGGGGCCCAAAGAGTGCCAAGAAAATATTCCCCACACCATGACACCACCACCACCAGCCTGAACCGTTGATACAAGGCAGGATGGATCCATGCTTTCATGTTGTTGACGCCAAATTCTGACCCTACCATCCGAATGTCGCAGCAGAAATCGAGACTCATAAGACCAGGCAACGTTTTTCCAATCTTCTATTGTCCAATTTCGATGAGCTTGTGCAAATTGTAGCCTCAGTTTCCTGTTCTTAGCTGAAAGGAGTGGCACCCGGCGTGGTCTTCTGCTGCTGTAGCCCATCTGCCTCAAAGTTCGACGTACTGTGCGTTCAGAGATGCTCTTCTGCCTACCTTGGTTGTAACGGGTGGTTATTTGAGTCACTGTTGCCTTTCTATCAGCTCGAACCAGTCTGGCCATTCTCCTCTGACCTCTGGCATCAACAAGGCATTTCCGCCCACAGAACTGCCGCTCACTGGATATTTTTTCTTTTTCGGACCATTCTCTGTAAACCCTAGAGATGGTTGTGCGTGAAAATCCCAGTAGATCAGCAGTTTCTGAAATACTCAGACCAGCCCTTCTGGCACCAACAACCATGCCACGTTCAAAGTCACTCAAATTACCTTTCTTCCCCATACTGATGCTCGGTTTGAACTGCAGGAGATTGTCTTGACCATGTCTACATGCCTAAATGCACTAAGTTGCCGCCATGTGATTGGCTGATTAGAAATTAAGTGTTAACGAGCAGTTGGACAGGTGTACCTAATAAAGTGGCCGGTGAGTGTATATTTACATATGTATATACTTTCAAGGCCAAGTCTCCCTGTTTTTTGTTTTATCTTAAAAGTAACTCATAAACTTTGACTACTGTTCATACAAAAACCCTGATTATTACTGTCAGATAATAAAGAAATAAAGTCAAAGATAACCTAACTGATCTTTACCCTCCATGCTGTCTGCAGGTTTATTTGGAGTTTGTCCTGAAACGTAAGGATTATTTACCCTCATGTGGCGCCCTCTGGTGTTGAGTTGATACACTGCGTGATGTAGGTCGGTGACAGAGCCTTAACAGAGTTAATTCCGTTCCTATTCAGTCTCTCTCTTCTCCCTCTGATAGCTCTGTAGCATTTTTACCCGATTAATAGCTCAATAAAGTCCTTTTATTATCTCAGACTTCTGAGACACTTTCAGGTACTCAAGAAGCCTCCTTCGCTGTTGCCATGTTGAGTTTATCTGAAATGATAAATGATATAAGTATATTTCAGTCTCCAAATCAGACCTGGAAAGTTTGGAAGGGGACTCACTATTTAAGTCACTTGTGTCCTTCTCATGTTATTCTCATGCGGCTTTTCTAACAAGCTGTTCAGAGCAGCCTGCAGGCTCATCCTGAGATCACTCCAACACAGCTTTACCTCACAGTCTGAAATTATGACCACTTTTAAGGACGGGCATCCCAGATTTTACCCTCAGACCTGTTTAAAAATATGAGAAAGCACATTACCACCTCTTTAAAGAGAAGGCTGAAATCACCTTTATTCATCCACAGTGGGTAATCCTTTTTAAATACACAATGACACAGGATATACAACACTGAAAAGCAACAAAAGTCAGAGAGCACCGGGCATCTTCACAGTAAATCTGATTCACGAATAACAAAATAAGAAATATCAAATAAACTTCAGTATTGTTCTGTCATCTTTAAAGCCAATGAATATAAATACTTTACTCAAAGCCTTATGGTAACCACACAGACACAGACAGTGACCAAAGACTCAAACTTGCACTCCTCTCCTGTGGTCCACTTCAGCAACTTCATCTCAATCCAAAACTATAATACTAACACTGACAAAATTTCACATTATTCTGAGCACTGGCTTTCATCAGATGGGACACCAACACACAAAACATGAACACATGAACCACACTGGAATGAATACTTTAACTCGTTAAAAACAGCCCATTGAGAACAAGAAGGTTTGATGCTATTCAGTGGTGAAATTGTTATATGTCACCTTTCAGTCATCTATTTTGATTTTTTTTAAAGCTGTAGAGGCATGTAGAGGCTGCATTTACTCCTCCTAACCACTGGAGGGCGCTGACAATTCACACCAACAATATCGATACTGAAATCTTGAGAAAATATAACTTATCACACAAACACACAAAGGTTATCATACAAACTCGAGCAAAATATTCACAAGACGGCAATAATACTGAGAAAGGAAAACTAAGCAGGGTCACTCAAATATGTGTCGCTAAATATGCTTGTTATTAAGAAAACATAGACCTACATGACTCATTCTGAGCATGCAGAAGGATTATGCTTAGGCCTGACTACATGGTCTCTCTGTGAGGATGGTCCATGGGTTGAGTTGGGTGAGCACAAGGACATAAATTCATTCATGACTGGACTGTTTGCATCTTAGACAACAAAAAGAAAAAAAACAAGCATGTTGGAAGTCCATCGGGAGGTTTGGAAACGTGCCTGCCTGACTTGTGCAGTCTGATCTCGGCTGAATATGCTGTGAATCCGATTTCCTGGAATGTGATGGAAAGTTATGTGGAACAGAATTTCACTTTTGTTGGCTCCCTTTATTAAGTCAGACCACTAGAGGACAATAGAGGCTGGTCTCTGGTGAATCCTTAGCTCAAAGGGTTGACTTTCAAAGAGTCCCGGCCCCTCTTGATTAAGTCTTCCTTATGGTCCATTGCTGAGTAGATAGAGTGATAGACAGGGATCCCACATCTCTCTTGAAGGCATGACTTTGAATAATGTTTTTGAAAACCTGGACTGATTGGCTCCTTAGCTCTTTGTGATTAAGTGTGGTCCAGAGAGGATGCCCTACAAATCTGGAGGGGACTTCTGGACAAATTAAATCTGTGACAATAGCTATGTCAGAGAAAAGGGGGGATGATGGGATCCTTAAGCTCCTCCCCTCTCTTTGTCATGAGGCATGATTGGATGGCATGGGCCTAAAGGTCCTTACACACCGGAGCCGACACGAATATAGAACGCGAAATCATGAAATATTCAGAGGCGAATTTTGACGTGCCTGATTATTTACATCAAGCCTGATGCGATTTTGCGACTTTCCAGGAGGAAAAAGACGCATCCCAGGGAAGAATTTTCAGGGGGGAAGGCCCGCCTCCTTCATCTCTGATTGGCTAGAAAAGCTGGAAACGTCATCACATGCTCAAGCCAAACGGTAAGCACTTATAGCCAATCAGAAGCAAAGGAGGGCGGGACCTTCCCTTAACAACCTACAGCGTCCCGGGTGGAAGCGATGTCGAATTGATACTTCTTTTGCTTTCTCAAAAGAAAAAGAAATGTCGCACATGGGTGCATCCAATATTACAAAAAAGAAGAGAACTTGGTGAGTTTCACTGCTTGGTTCAGGAGCTGAAACTGTACCACCGTCACTTCAGAACCTATTTTTGGATGTCCATTGAACAATTTGAAGTTCTGCTGAAACAATTAGCTTCAAGTTTGAAGAGGCAGAGGACTAGACACTAGTGTTGAGATGGCTTTCTGTCATGATAGCATGTACTGAGTCGGGGCCAGTACCAGATAAGCACATTAAACTATGGTAACAACCGTTAGCTTACGTTAGCACAGATGAAAGTTAAAACAAAGACGTTTAGCAAACTGTTAAAGCACACAAAACATCGTCATATCAGAAATCCGACACTATGACTCTCCACAAGTTGTCCTTCAGGTGATTATTTTTGTAATGTTTGTGTAAACAACCATAAACAATCAGCCAGTCGGCCATGTTGGATATACCAATGAATCTGAAATCGCAACAACACGCAATCTGATTGGTCAGAAGTGGACACACAGTATGCGAAACTTTAGAAAAATCGACCATGATCCGAAAAAATAAATGCTGCAATATCGCAGAACGGGAAAACGTCGCTGATGTGAACACTTGTATTGACAGGATACTGGTTCGAAATAAATATTGACGTCCGCAATAATCGCACGACATAAACGGTCAAGGTGTGTAAGGACCTTTACTCTCTTGTGGCATCATTACACAATTTCCTTTGATAAAATTCAGCGAATCAGTCTCAGCCTCAGCAAAGAATCTGTGATGAATGTAAAGTCCGGGGCCTAATTACATACTTAAAGGCCTGTGTATATCGCATGACATGGGCCATCTTAAAAATGTATCTGTGCAGATTATCCTGCAGTTCATCCTTTGCCTGCACTAATTCAGTAGCCTTACTCTGCATCTCCAACTCTTCCTCCCCTCTTTTCTTGTTTGCAATAACTGCTGGATGATCGCCTGCTGCTGCACATTTCCCAAAAGTTGCTGAATTCTCTCTAACAGGAGGAGTCTACCTGTCTTCCAGAACACAAAGACACTGAAGAACCAGCCAAGAACCCAAACCCAAACCCGGGATAGAGAGGGTCAGTGAATGTGGGGTTGAAGGTGTGGAGGTGGATCAGAGAATCTGCTGAAACTCTGTAAAAGGACAGAGTTCCAGCAGCAGAGTCCACGAAAATGGCAACTCTGTTGGGGTCAGATGGGGAGGAGAATGAGTAAATGGATGATCGTTTGTTGTTGTGCCAGACGTAGTAACGGCCACCGTCAGAGCAGATCAGCCTCCAGGACAGCTCATTCTCTCCAAACACACAGTTCTCACTGTCCCCTTTCCTGCCAATGTCTTTATAACACACTGACACAGAAACTCGTCCTTTCCATTCCACCTCCCAGTACGAGCGACTGGTCAGAGCACCTTTACTCATCAGCTGAGGACAGCGTTCGAACCTGTCTGGATGATCAGGATGTGACTGATCCTTCTCCACATATGTAGCCCTGTTGTTGTTTTCAGACAGCTGGATATTTTTGTACACTGTGTTTGGATCCAGAGTGACCTCACAGGCGTCTAATGGGAGGAAAAACACAGCATCAGTTAGACCCTGATCCCTGCTGATTATAGATCATGACATCGTAGACCTGCTCTGCGGTAAAGATCGTACTTACACTTCTTCAGACCTGGTGTCAACCACTGGACTCCTCTCGGCTCCATCCTAAAAACAAAAGTGTGAATCAGACCACAAATTCAAGCATTGAACATGGTCCTTTCATAACTGCGAAACACACATGTAGTCTTTACCTTAGGACAGTCCCAAACTTGTTGAATGTGAAATTGTGTCCATCTCTATGTACATGTTCTGCTAAAGTGTCTAACCAACACTGGACCTATCTCTAATAACACCACTGATAGTGCTGATAAAGTCGGGTAATTTTAATTATTCTGATTGTTCCAATGTAAAACTAGAAAAGCACTCGGAGAGCGCAGACCTCCACCAAGCAACTCATGTCCCCCTTTAAACAAGAAATGTCCTGACTGGGATTTGAACCCAGGACCTTCTGGTTGTAAGGCAACAGTGCTAACCACTACTCCACTGTGCCGCCCATTCCAGCATTCCATCTTTCAGCATTGAAAATTCCAACAACACCCTTATTTTTGTGTGTTCTGGATCACAGTATCCAGAATTTTGTCCGGATCACCACCAAAATTTAATGGGATCCTCCTGGGGCTGAGACACACCTCTGGTTAAAATTTCAGGTCAATCCGTCTGTTACTTTATCCGTAAAGTTGCTAACAGCAAACAAACCAACACGACCGATTACATAACCTCCTTGGCAGAGGTAATAAAACCTTTGGCTGTTTGCTTCTCTTCCCAATTGATGAACAATAACAAAACAAATAAAGCACAATAAGAATGAGTTATCTATAACAGTAAGTGAAGAAATTCTTCCCTTGGCCCTCTGTTGTCAAGATCAGATCAGGAAATCAATACTTCATACATCTGTGATAGCTTATACAGGTGAGACACTGTCCCAGCTCTGCCTTCTCTAACACCTGTAAGAAAAGAGGGCCTCTCATACCTGAGAGAGTCCATTTTCCAGAGTGGATTATTCTGCCCATCAGAGAGCAGCTTCACTCCGGAGTCTCCTGGATGGTTGTAGCTCAGGTCCAGCTCTTTCAGGTGGGAAGGGTTGGAGCTCAGGGCTGAGACCAGAGAGACACAGCCTTCTTCTGTGATCAGACATCCAGACAACCTACAAACCGGCAAATATGGGTGGAATGAGAATACTTCTTTGTCAGCAATAAACAAATCCTGAAGGATCCAGAGATGTTTCAAGTAATTTCTATAATCCCTGCAGTAACCCCAGAGACTACTTCAGGGTCTCCTCCCAGTTGGACATGTTAGGAAAACCCTCAAAGATTGGTTCCCAGAAGGCAAAGACTCAATGTCTTCTCTAAATGTAAAGGAGTAGCTCTGACCTCATCTCTCAGACCCAGACACAGTCCAGAGGCGACTCTTCTGGTCTTGGTCCATCACTCCATCAGTCACTACCCAGAGTTTGTCACCATGGGTAAGAGTAGCAGATACACCAATATATTTCCAAGCTCTGCCTTTAGCCTCCTGCCCACTTTGGTTCCACACATCCAATCCATCTGTGGATTTCACTATCCACTCTGCCCCAACTCTTGAACCCCCGAAACTCAGATCTACCCAGACCCTGTGAACACAGGTACGGGTTCGACCATGAATCCCCTGCTTATCTGGTAAAGATGAGATTGGTTCTCTCATCATAACAGTTTGGCATTTCTGAAACTGCTGCACTAATCCATCGATAGATCCCATGATCCATTAATCCTTTCTTGAGGAACAAGACGAATTTCGGACAGCGGGAATCGCAAGACCTCACAAGAACCCACGGATTCACATGCAATCACGCTATAACAAGCTGTCTCTATAAAGACAGCCACATAACCATATAAGCTGTACATGTGTCCTCCCAGAGGAGGAAAATCCACTTCTAGACTTCTAGAATCAGCATCTCCTCATCCATGGTGTCTACAGGGTGAAATGAAGTCTAAAAACCTTTCACTTGAAGACCCAGCCCAATTGCACGGTGTGAAATACGATCTGCTTGAAACACATTGTGTTTTATTTTGAAAATAAGCTGGATGTTTCATTTTGTGTCTGTGCCCAACTTCCTTTCCAGCACGGGCTAATCTGTGCTAAATTTATGCGGCATGCTGCGCCATCTGGAAATAATAGGACTCTTGCAATCTGCTACGAAGCCCGCTGAACTGCAACAGAACGGAAAGAAGCCGGTGGAAATTGACACATTAATTTGAATGGAAACAATCAGCGGCGATCGATGCATTCCAGGTGCAGTGGAAATCGGGGGTTAAAGGTATATTCCGTCATAAATTTGAGTTATGGTCAAACACACCGGAACATCGAGTTAGAACCCCCTTGAAAGATGAATGTTGCCAAATGCTTGCTTCTCTTGTTATTCCAACTTTAGTAACGACCGCACAATAGCAATACACAGCGGTCTACATCTCCACACACAAATCTCAACCAAAAAGCCACTCAATAGCCACAAATAATGCTCAGAACAGCACCTAACTTCACCAACAGTACATATGAGATCCCAGCTGTAGTAGTAGCCATCAAACATCTTTTTCGCTTTGCCTGGTTTCTTTAGCAAAGAGATCAAACACAACTCTGCCAGACTCGTTCAGTAGCTGCTTATTTGTGGGGGAGCCCTGACGAGTCAATCACCAAGTGCAGTGGAGTTTCATAGCTCAAGGAAGAACATTTATGATTATGACTTCATGGAAATGCAATCAGACCGAGATGCTAAAACAGAAGAATTACCGCGTCTGCGGTGCAAAGTGATTATAGTGATGATTATTACTTCATGGAAATGATCCACTTCACTCGTCAGGGCTCCCAGGGCTGTTCTCATCAGGGCTGTTTTCACATAGGCAAGACCCTAATTTCGTTCCCTGACTTAAAAAATAGAGTTTCAAAGTCTGCACTGGTAAGGTTGAGCATACAAAACCCCAGCTCCCCCATTATTGAGCTCAGCATTTAAGTTGCTACTGGACCACTTCACAAGAGTTTTGCTGGAACTCATGAAGAATACTGTGAATATCAACAACAAGAAAAGAAGAGTCAACAACCCACCACTAATGGTTTTCAAAAGGTGCTAAGAAGACCTTAATATTGAAGTGTTTGCTCAGTACTTTAAATTCACACTTTATGTTCTTATTAGATACACTGGTGAAAGAATCTTGACCTGAGAGTTTCCAGTGCACAATCTGGACTCCCAAGCCCATCAGAAAGCAGCTTCACTCCTGCATCCTTCAGGTCGTTGTTACTCAGGTCCAGATCCCTCAGATTAGTGGACTGGGAGCTGAGGACTGAGGACAGAGCTTCACAGCTTCTCTCTGAGAGGTTACAGCCACTCAGCCTGAAGAGACATTAAAACACACAAGTAATAAATTAAGAGTATTTCCCCTTGTCAGAAAATAGCTTTTATGATAACAAATCTTTCTTACACAGCTTTCCTGGAGGCCTTTACAACTGGCATCAGCCTCAGAAGAGCTTCCTCTGAGGCACAGTATTTCTTCAGGTCAAACTCGTCCAGATCTTTCTCTGATGACAGTAAGATGAAAACCAGAGCTGACCACTGAGCAGGAGACAGGTTCTCCGAGGACAGGCTTCCTGATTTTAGGGATTGTTGGATCTTCTCCACCAGAGAGCGATCTTTCAGTTCATTCAGACAGTGGAACAGATTGATGCTTTTCTCAACATTAGGGGCCTCTTCAATCTTATTCTTGATGTACATTATTGTGTCCTCATTGTTTTCTAAGCCACTTCCTGTCGGAGTCAGAAGACCTCGTAGGAGAGTCTGATTGGTCTGCAGTGAAAGTCCCAGGAGGAAGCGAAGGAACAAGTCCAGGTGTCCATTTGGACTATGTAAGGCCTTGTCCACAGCACTCTGGTAGAACTCTGTCATTGTAGATCCATGGTAGGCTGATGGATCTTCTGACAGCAGGTTGGCTCCGGAGTTGGTGAAGGTCAGGTGGACATGAAGAGCAGCCAGAAACTCTTGAACACTCAGGTGGATGAAGCAGAACACCTTGTCCTGGTACAGTCCGCTCTCCTCTCTGAAGATCTGAGTGAACACTCCTGAGTACCAAGAGGCTTCTTTGATATTGATGCCACACTCTATCAGGTCTAGTTCATAGAAGATCAGGTTTCCCTTCTGCAGCTGCTCAAAAGCCAGTTTCCCCAGAGACTCAATCATCTCCTTGTTTTCCGGATTCCAGTGGGCATCAGTCTCGGCTCCTCCGTCATATTTGATGTTCCTTCTTTTAGACTGAACCACCAGGAAATGGATGTACATCTCAGTCAGAGTCTTGGGCAGCTCTCCTCCCTCTCTGGTTTTCAGTACATCCTCCAGAACTGTAGCAGTGATCCAGCAGAAGACCGGGATGTGGCACATGATGTGGAGACTTCTGGACGTCCTTATGTGGGAGATGATTTTGCTGGCCTGGTCTTTATCTTTAAACCTCTTCCTGAAGTACTCCTCCTTTTGAGGGTCATTGAACCCTCTGACCTCTGTCACCATGTTCACATATTCAGGAAGGATCTGATTGGCTGCTGCAGGTCTTGTGGTTATCCAGAGGTGAGCAGAGGGAAGCAGGTTCCTCCTGATGAGGTTTGTCAGTATCACATCCACTGAGCTGGACTTTGTAACGTCAGTCAGGACCTCATTGTTGTGGAAGTCCAGAGGAAGTCGACACTCATCCAGACCGTCAAAGATGAACACAACCGGGAACCTTTCAAAGTTGCAGATTCCTGCTTCTTTGGTTTCAGTGAAGAAGTGATGAATTAGCTCCACCAAGCTGAACTTCCTCTCCTTCAGCACATTCAGCTCTCTGAAGGTGAATGGAAATGTGAAGTGGATGTCCTGGTTGGCTTTGTCTTCAGCCCAGTCCAGAGTGAACTTCTGTGTTAAGACGGTTTTCCCGATGCCAGCCACTCCCTTTGTCATCACTGTTCTGACTGGTTCATGGCTCCCAGCCACAGCTTTAAAGATGTCTTCCTGTTTGATGGTTGATTCTGGACCGTCTGGTTTCCTGGACGCTGTTTCAATCTGTCTGACCTCGTGTTCATCGTTGACCTCTCCAGTCCCTCCCTCTGTGATGTAGAGCTCTGTGTAGATGTCATTTAGGAGAGTTTGAGTTCCTGCTTTAGCAATCCCCTCAAAGACACACTGGAACTTTTTCTTCAGGTTAGCTTTAAGTCTTCGCTGATAAACTGGAGCAGGATTACCTGAATGAGGAAAAATTGTATTTATTAATGGTTCAAACTCCTGTATGTGTTGCATGTTGAATCTTTTCAGAAACTCTCTTACTGTTTTGCAGACAGTCAGCCAGCTCCTCCTGGTCCATTCTCTTCAGGAAGACCACTGTCATCTTCAGCAAGGCCTCTTTGCAGATCTTCTTCTGCTCTGCCTCCTCATCATCCAACACTTTCTTATCCTCACTTTGGTCCTCGGTCTGTTTTTGGTTATCTGAATTCAGAGCTGTCTTGATCTTCTTCAATTCTTTTCCCACATAAGTCTTCAGCTGCTTCTCCAGCAGCTTAAGGTCATAAAAAAATGAGCCAATCAGAAAAAAAAATCACAAAACTCTGTGAGAATTTTTCTTCAAATAATTGATTGACAATATGGAAAATGAAGCATCAATGTTCAGACCATAAATATGGAGTCCAGGTGTGTTTGATGCTGCCCAGGGGATGGACCGCTGGAAACTTCACAGCTATGCTGGTTGACCCTGCGGAGGAATCACAGATTGAGCTCAGTCTACTTTGACATTTGAAGTCTGAATCCTCTGTTGCCATGTGAGTACGATACACAGCACTGATCACACTGTGAATCTATTTACCAGATCAACACACTGCTGTCTTTTGCAAATGTCATGGTGGGAGGCTGAGGTGCTTCTTTCAAAAGGAGATGTTTTAATCATCAGAAGAAGGGGGATTGACAGCCCACACAGACAGATCACTGATCATTGGTGACAGAACGACCAGTGTAACTTGATCTTGGGAAAAGGTTTGCAAGATCCTCAGTGGTCTGAAGATTCAATTACTCAAGATGGGCTACAGAAGAGGGTGGCAAGTATACCTTTGTCAGGTGAGGAGAAAGACCTCATGTGGCTACAGGGCTTCAATAAAAAAAAAAAAAAACAGCCCAGGACTGGAACTTTAGGCTAACCAAAGCTAGCAACTAAAGTTCCTAGAACACAATGTAAGGACAACACTTTGGCCAGATCTGGTCCTGATATTGGGGTTTTGGCCTAAGACTTTAATAGTTCAGCTTCAATCATCCATTAGGGTTCAGTGGACTTGAGTTGTAGCTGAATGAAATGCTGTAATCCAGGGACTGATTTTTCCTCTGGTTCTTGTTGATTTGTAAGCAGCGTACAGTACGATGTGTAGTCCTGTACCCTAATGCAAGAGTCAACACGTGCAGCCTGAGGCACACTGCCTGTGTCATGACTGGTCTGCTTTTCTGGTATGGCCAATCTCCCTAATCCTCTTACTCAGCGAGTCTCCCCTCATTCCTTCCTTGCAGTAGCTGCAGTATGATTAACTGCTGCTCAGCATTTATCAGCTTTAACGCAAACACATGGATTCAGTTGCCATGGTTTCCTCTACACAAAGACGGAGGAAATGTAGAGAGACTCGAAATTGGGGATATGACGAGCAAAAATGCTGCAACACTGGCTGGCGTTTTAGTAGAGCACTGCGGAGCAACACAGACAACCCCAGGGAAGAAGTACGCGGTGTTCGCCACTACAGTGTAGCTATGGCGAAGATCTGAGACATAAGCATATACAATTAAGCCCAAAACTATTCATACCCCTGGCAAATTTTGACTTAAAGTTACTTTTATTCAACCAGCAAGTTTCTTATTAATTGGAAATGACACAGGCATCTCCCAGAAGATAATAAGATGATGTACAAGAGGCATCATTGTGGAAAGAAATATTTCAAAGCTTTTATTTAAATTTGAACGAAAAGTGGCATGTCCAAAATTATTCATACCCTTTGCAAACTGTCACAGTCTATGAGAGAATCCAAAGTTCTATACCATTCCAAATAGTCCAAGCTGTTCTAAATCATCCTAATTACCCTGATTGATTGGGAACAGCTGTTTTAATCAACTCAACAGGTTTTGGACAGTCATGACTAAGACAAAGGAGCTCACTGAGGACCTGCGGCTGCACAATGTGGCTGCTCACAAGTCAGTTGGGCCTCCAACCTGAAAGAGTTGGAGCTCATCGCTAAAGATGAATGGGCGAAAATACCAGTAGAGACATGCAAAAAGCTGCTCAGCAATTATAAGGGAGCGCTTGATTGCTGTCATAGCCAATAAAGGCTTTTCTATTGATTATTGAGAAGGGTATGAATAATTTTGGACATGCCACTTTTTGTTCAAATGTAAATAAAAGCTTTGAAATATTTCTTTCCACAATGATGAAGTCAAAATTTGCCAGGAGTATGAATAGTTTTGGGCTTGACTGTACATGGTCCTTGGCTGAAAAACCTTAAAAACTGCTGTTGCTCTTCAAGCTCAAATCATTTTGGCATCGACCAACATTAGCTGGCGAGTTTCAGGATTAACGAGCAAACTCAAGCAGGACACCCCTGGTTTCTCTGGGATCTTTTAGTCACCCTCAACCTAAATCAACCTGACTCTAAGCTGCAAGCTAGCAGAGTACACTGAGATTACAGAGTGGATCATTATTCAGTACAGGGAACCACATACCGATGATTACTCTGACATTCGTTCTCATTGGAAAAATGCTGTTTAAAGTCGGTGAAGTGCTGCTTTGATTTGTCACTCTTGTAGGACAGACAGCTGGGTTCGGGTCTAGCAGATTCTGGTCTTTCATTAGTCCTGTTTGACAGAGAAGAAAACCAGCAGGGATTAAAATTCATGAGTACATCAGAACATTTCTCATTCAAATTAAAAAAAAAAAAAAAAAAACAATTTTAAGTCTGAGAATAACTCACACTGAGAGATCAGGCATGTCAAAGAAACTTCATGCGGCCTGAGCCAGGGCCTTGCTTGTTGCTATAGGCCTAGTGTATCTGGAAGACCTCTGCCTTTTCAGGTTTATTTTGCTAGCCTTAGCCGAGACGCTTGTTCTTCTGGTATGATAATTTAGCTATGACCTCCCTCCTTGTCGCTAACTAGTAAAAAAAGCCTGGTCAGTTCTGATTTCTTAATGCTAATTCTTCAGGCTGCTGTCTGACCTGCAGCTTCTACCTTGCTAAGATAGACAGATCTCTGGTTTCTTTAGATGGGCTTAGCCATGGGTCTCACTGCTGTGTGAGTTCAGACTGACTTACCCTGTAATGGGGAAATATCCTCCTTTAAATTGTTTACTCGTCAACTCTGTAGTCCTGCTTATGAGGAACACACAGGGAGCTTCAGGTTCAGTAGAGTCCAGTCTTGAGTTATTCCTGTTGGACAGAGAGGTAGTTGGAGACAGCTTGTTTTAAAATTCAGAAGTTATGATATTAGACACCAGTTTACTGTGTCAGTCTGACTAGAAGCAGACAAATATGTTAAAATGTCACTCCAACTGAAATCAGACCGAGTCCAATCTCTTGTAGATGGACTGACAAACCAGAATTATGTGGCTTGAGATGGATTTTCTCTGTCACGTTCATGTCTCAGCTAGACCCAACTGGCCTAAGTGTTCTGAGCATGCTCCACAATCTGCACGTCATCATCTCCATGACCCCAAAGTGAAGGAACATAAATTTATATGATGCTGTTGTTTTCTGTCTTGAGATATCACAATCAGCTCAAGAAATAATATGCATCTCATTCAAGACAGTCAAAACAAGTTCCATTGATCTGAGGCTGAAAAGAGGGGCGTGTTGTCACCTAGTAAAGTGAATCCAGTAGTTTGGTCCTTGCCTGGTGCTTGTGGACTATAACAGGGGTAGTAGTCCATTTAAATCACCCTGTCAGACTGTAACCTTATCTCATTTATCTGTGAATGTAAACTTACTGAGTGAAGACAAGAGACCTGAAAGGGGGAGTTGGTCTGAGCTTGTTTGGTCAGTGTTAGCACAGGTAGTAGCTTTGTAGTTTGGTGACTTCATTACTGGTAGTCCTGCACGAGCTAACTTGATTGAAAACCTTAAGGGTTACTTTCTGTATCAGCCTGACAATAAATGATAAACAATAAGCAATCAAAGATTAAACTCATTGTCCCTAATGCTGGTTCAGTGAGCTTTTGTCCCAATCCAGGAGCCTGCAGCCTTTGAAGGACTTGTTCTTTGTAGTCTGCATTTGTGGTTATCGACTTTTTGAGGGGTGTCCGAAACCTGAGTGATCAATTTCAATGCCCTTTATAGGCGACTCAAAATTTCCCATAGAGCATTGCAAAATGTAGTGACCATCCGATGGTCACTCATCGGTGGTGGGCATCCCGTCATGCATTGCGTCTAGCCATGTAGTGTCCGAAACCTCCGGTGATTGAGTTCACTACATAGTCAACTATATAGTAAAATCCCATATGGGGGTTAGGGGTTAGGGATTGAGTGATTCATTTCAGACACAACCTTGGTGTTGATTTACCCAGTTTTTGAGCAACATTGTCCTTTAAACAGCAGAGCACTGCTCATGGACTGTGAACTCCTGCAGGAAACACAGCAGGGTTGAGCTTCAGCAGAGTCTGGTCTCCTGTTGGAGAGAGACACAGTATGATGGAAATTCACTGTATACAAAACCCAATTCCATTGAAGTTGGAAAATTGTGATAAACGTAAATAAAAACAGAATACAATGATTTTCAAATCCTTTTCAACCTATATTTAATTGAATACACTACAAAGACAAGATATTTAATGTTCAAACTCATAAACTTTATTGTTTTTTGCAAATAATAATCAACTCAGAATTTCGTGGCAGCAACACGTGACAAAGAAGTTGGGAAAGGTGGCAAAAAATACTGAGAAATTTGAGGAATGCTCATCAAACACCTATTTGGAACATCCCACAGGTGAGCAGGCTAATTAGGAACAGGTGGGTGCCATGATTGGGTATAAAAGCAGCTTCCCCCAAAATTCTCAGTCATTCACAAGCAAGGATGGGGCGAGGTTCACCACTTTGTGAACAACTGCGTGAGCAAATAGTCGAACAGCTGAAGAACAACGTCTCTTAAAGTACAATTGCAAGGAATTTAGGGATTTCAACATCTACGGTCCATAATATCATAAAAAGGTTCAGAGAATCTGGAGAAATCACTGCATGTAAGCGGAACAGCCGGAAACCAACATTGAATGCCCGTGTCCTTCGATCCCTCAGGCAGTACTGTATCAAAAACTGACATCGATGTGTAAAGGATATCACCACATGGGCTCAGGAACACTTCAGAAAACCACTGTCAGTAAATACAGTTCGTCGCTGCATCTGTAAGTGCAAGTTAAAACTCTACTATGAAAAGTGAAAGCCATTTATCAACAACATCCAGAAATGCTGCCGGCTTCTCTGGGCCCGAGCTCATCTAGGATGGACTGATGCAAAGTGGAAAAGTGTTCTGTGGTCTGACGAGTCCACATTTCAAATTGTTTTTGGAAATAGTGGACGTCGTGTCCTCCAGGCCAAAGAGGAAAAGAACCGTCAGGACTGTTATCAATGCAAAGTTCAAAAGCCAGCATCTGTGATGGTATGGGGGTGAATTAGTGCCCAAGGCATGGGTAACTTACACATCTGTGAAGGCAACATTAATGCTGAAAGGTACATACAGGTTTTGGAGCAACATATGCTGCCATCCAAGCAACGTCTTTTTCATGGACGCCCTTCCTGTTTATTTCAGCAAGACAATGCCAAGCCACATTCTGCACGTGTTACAACAGCGTGGCTTCGTAGTAAAAGAGTGCAGGTACTCGACTGGCCTGCCTGCAGTCCAGACCTGTCTCCCATTGAAAATGTGTGGCACATTATGAAGCGTAAAATACGACAACGGAGACCCCGGACTGTTGAACAACTGAAGCTGTATATCAAGCAAGAATGGGAAAGAATTCCACCTTCAAAGCTTCAACAATTAGTCTCCTCAGTTCATAAACATTTATTGAGTGTTGTTAAAAGGAAAGGTGATGTAACACAGTGGTAGACATGCCCCTGTCCCAACTACTTTGTCACGTGTTGCAGTTACCAAATTCAAAGTTATTATTTCCAAAAGATAAAAATAAAATAAAGTTTATGAGTTTGAACATTAAATATCTTGTCTTTGTAGTGTATTCAGTTCAATAAAGGTTGAAAAGGATTTACAAATTATTGTATTCTGTTTTCATTTACGTTTATCACAACTTCCCAACTTCAATGGACTTGGGTTTTGTAATATAAACATTGAAGCATATTCTGAAGTTAACTGTCTCACTTTGTTTTTCTTCTGATTTTGTTTTCACTCCATATATGTTGTTTCTTGAAGTCAGTGAAGTGGTCCTTTGACTTGTTACTCTGTAGGGACACACAGCTGGGTCCAGTTTCAGCAGAGTCTGGTCTCATATTAACCCTGTTCAACAAAGAGGAAGACCAGTGTGACCATGAATTAACAATTAACCGGGTAATATGAACACTTCTCCTATGGTGCAGCTCAAAAAGTTACAATGTCCTGAAAGATTCAGATTCATTAAACAAAGGGTTGACTTTGTGTTTAAATTCTAATGAATACGGTTCACAGCGCACAAAGATCAAAAGTCTATCATTTAAAAACATCCGATTATTTTGTAGATGTCCAGTTCTGATAGAGGATTTTTGATTTTCATGAGCTGTGAGCCGTAATCATCAAAAAGTCCTGAAATATTTCAATATGAGTGAGATTAATCTGGAAGATATGGATGTGTAATAAAACATACTTCTCTTGCCTTTTATTTCTGTTTTTACTGCATAAATCTTGCTGTTTAAAGTCGTAAAAGTGGTCCTTTGAATTGTCACTCCTACAGGACAGACAGCTGGGTTCTGGCTCTGGTTCTGGCTCTGGTTCAGGATCCATACACAGAGCTGTTTTAGAGGCAAGGACCCCCTCTTCTTTAACCTCACACTGATTCATGCTAAGTCAGCTCACACCCCTTCACCTGCAGAGGAAACACACATCTCTGTTTCTGTACTGTGATCATGACACCAGAGGGACCTGTAAAGAGATTATTCAGAGAATAGTTTTGCACAGGAAATTGCAGAACATCAGCTTCAGTTTCATAAAAACCACATTCGTTATTCAATCACCTGATTTCCTCAAACTGCAGCACAGATGGGAGGTATGTACCCTGAAAAGAACTCCCTTTGTTTGCAGAGAGACGCTCAAAAGACAAAAACTTCATAAAAGAGCAAAAACATACAGGTGGGTTGGTCTGCAACTTTATTTTTAAAATATAAAAAAACTGGGTCAATATTTTCAGCATAGGACTGACCGGGTCCAGAAACATTTAATGACCTAAACAAAAAAAAATCTAGCAAAGTTTTTTTTACTAGAACAATCTGCAATAAAAGTCAGAGGGTTAGCTGATTTCCTGGTGAGAGAGCCAAGTGTCCAATGTACAGTCATCTTTGGATCATTTTATCAGTCATAATAGCTCTGAGTGTTTTCATTTACTGTCATAAAGCATAAACACTAACAGATACTTCAAGATTTTAAACCTTTAGACCTGACGCATTTTTTCTGCAAGTGAGGCATCAGTTTTCAGGAAACCTTCACAAGGCCGGCCCGTGCAATAAGCAATATAAGCGGTCGCTTAGGGCCACAACCAATGGGAGGGGCCACATCACCCCCCAAAAGGAAGACAAAAATAACTAGCTAGCTAGTTCTAGCCCAGTGGTTCTCAAGTCCAGTCCTCAAGGCCCACTGTCCGGCATGTTTTGGATGTTTCCCTGCTCCAACACACCTGATTCGAATGATCAGCTCGTTAGTAAGCCATTACAGAGCTTGATAACGAGCTTATCATTCGAATCAGGTGTGTTGGAGCAGGGAAACATACAAAACATGCAGGACAGTGGAGGCTCGAGGACTGGACTTGAGAACCACTGATCTAGACCATACAACTGACTGCCCAGGGAGCTTGTAGATCGGCTATTTTTGCAACTTTTCTGTGACATCAAATGGACCGACAGTCTATGTAATATGGCCTCCTGGAATGAGTGTGGAAATATGGTGGAACTCCCCATCATCAAAGTTGCCCACCTCTTGTCTAGACTCTAGACGATCTAGAAGCTCACGATATCCCATCATGAAGTCATCATCTGTTTAAAATGCAACAAAATGGAGGACCACAACCAATAATGGGGGGGGGGGGGGGTATTGGGGGGCAACCAAACAAAATCTTGCTTAGGGCCACCAAAATCCACCAGCCGGCCCTGAACCTTCATGTCCTGAAACTCAGCTGAATCCATCAGAGCTTTTTCACCCACAACCTGAATGGATTTGGTTTTTGCGGCAGTCTGTGACATAAGCTGCTTAGAGAAACTTACTCTGTGGTGAAAAATGTGAAAAGGAGGATGTTGGTGTAGAAATGAGCGTCTCTAGAGCTGCAGTCCAGGGTGGAGGTGATGCACCCTGCAGACTCATTCAGTCAGGAGTCTTTTAGACATGATTAAAAAACATCACTGATTTATTCAGCTGCAGACAAAAGTCTAAAAAAAAACTGATGAGAAACTGTGGCCGTATAAATTGGGATCAGAGGTCTGTGTCTCTTTTTGTAGTTGGATATAACGTTTGGAAAGAAACAAACTTGAAACACAGCTTGATATCTATTTCCTTTTTAGAAATGAAAATTGAAAATTAAACCGTTAGGCCTATGTGACTTTTCCTTACTTGTTCCAGACAACAAAAAAGAAAATTAAGCTGTATTTCAAGTTTGGTTTTACTATTTCAAAATAAAACTCAAATAACCAGACCAGGATCTTTAAACAGTGTGTGGTTAATCTTCTACAGGTGAGCTGTTCCCAGGTATGCCCTCATGACCTGATCCTGACCTGAGCAGGGAATGTAGAGGACACACTGCAATAAACAAGTCTGCCCACGACAACAACCATTACTACAACCAGCTGAAAACAAGTGAACTCATGTTTCACTCTGTAAAGGTAAATAAAACGTAAATAAAGTGTACAAACTTTAACAAAAAGTAGCCATTTCTGTCCAAATGGGTGACCACTGAAGAGCAAACTGACAGTCACTCAGTGTTTTATCTCTTGACCCTCAGTTTTAAAACGTAGGCATAAAGACACATACCTGGTACCTGCACCGTCCTCCTCCCGCGGCCGTCCAGACCGGGTGGTGCCGCTCTCAGAGGCTCATTGCGGGGCAGAGCTCAGGTGGTGTCCTCCTTCTCAGACTGACTCAAACTGTATAAACTCTTCTCCTCTGACCACTGCCTGAGGTGAACGGTTAGAGGCTCCGCTTCCTGTTGTGCTGTGTTGTCTTCCTCCTCCCCTCAGAGTTTCATCTTTGCACACTTAAAATCCAACATGGCGGCGGATAGCAGCAACTTCAACCAGCCGGTCCTATCAAGTACACAGATACGAATAAAAAATTCCCAAAATACACATTAAACTGCCCCGAGGATTATTAAGAAATGTTAACGATTAAATAAAAAAAAAAATCACATAAGTGTTACATGGAGGGATTAAGTGCGTCACAATAAAAAAGAAAGTGAAAGTAAAAAGAAATACAAGTTTAGGGAGGGAGGCTGTGCTCGGTTTTTTTTTTTATACCTTATGTCATAAGATGATGACACAGTGTGAAATATTTATAACATCTTGAAGTAACGAAATAAAAAAGGTCTCAGACGGGGAAAAAACTCTAAAGATTAAACTTTTTGCTCTAAATTCTCACTACGCTGTAAAGACATTTAAAATGGATAAATTTTATTGTTTTATTATTTTCTCATTTTTGGAGCCCGTTTAAATCTTTAACATTACCTAAAAGCTGCCAATCTCAGTTTTGACAGCAGATGATCAACACACTTACAAGCTTTTGCGAGCTTTAAACCTCTGTTCCTTCAACTGTATTTTAAGATATTTGACTCTTTTTACCACAAACAGTTTAGCTCATTGTGCCTAAAGTCCTGCGGGAGAAAAACGTGAAAAAGAAAGAAGAGAGAGAAAAAGAGAAATAAAAGACAGGCAGATGATGATGAAACAAGGTCCTACCTGTAGTAACGTTGACACGCCGCTAGATGGAGACAGAGCTTCAGTCCGTCAATAAATAACGGTTTAGGGGGTCCCAGAGAACAGAGGAGCCTAAGATTATGCTTAAACCTAGAAGAATTAAAAATCTAATTTATTGACTATTGTGATAATTATAACTTTAACTACTACCACTACTACAACAACTACTACTATAATAATAATAATAATAATAATAATAATAATAATAATAATAATAATAATAATAATAGTAAAGATAATAATAATAACAAAAAGAATGATAGTGATAATGCTAATGATAATAATAATAATAATAATAATAATAATAATAATAATAATAATAATAATAACAAAATAATGCTAATGATAGTAATTATAATAATAATAATAGTAATAATAATAATAATATAATAAAAATAACAAAATAACAACAACAATAATAATATTAATAATAATAATTACAATAACAACAATGATAATATTAACAATAATAATAATAACTAGGGCCCCGGTGGGGCACTGTCGGGCCCGAGCCGCGTCGCGCCGCCCCCAGCGCGACCGCCTCCCCCTCCCGATCGCGTCACACTCAAGGTCCAAAGATGGTGTGCGCACTTGTCTGTGGTCATTTCCCATTATAATGAATGGGAGGCGCAGTTTCTACCAAAACACTCGCTGCAGACAAACTACATGTCCTATTTGAAAAAAGTCTGGACCATGAGTGAGGGCACAAACACAGCTAGGATATATCCAAACGGCAAGTTGCTCCTCGTTACGGTGTTGCCGGGAGAGCGATGCGATTGAGCCATTGAGTGATGGGCAGGAAAATCTTGACTGTTTCTCCTGCCATGGAGGATGGGGGATGGGGGATGGGGGGGGGGATGTGGATTCTTTTAAGAATGTGGATTTTTGGGTCATCTTTGGCGCCCCCTAGAACGTAAACCGTGGGGTGCAGCGTCATGATTTTTACAACTTTGAATGGCCATGGGGTGTAGATTGGCCTGAGCAAATTTGGTGTCGGTGGGACGAAAGCCTTAGGAGGAGTTAGCCACATTCCAATGTGTGCGAATCGGCAAAAAATGCAAAATAGCCCTTTAACCGTACATTTTACAGATACGCGTGCATTGACTTTTTCGTAGACGTTATTGAGACACACGTGATTGTCAAATTTTGTGTCAATATGACAAAGCGTACAGGCGTGACACTCAACAATGTGTATTTGCACCTTAGGGGACAAGAAAAAATGGACTTTTTTCTCCTGCCATGGGGGGCGCTCTTTTGGGGAGTAAAAATTCCTTCACAAATGTGTTGATGGCTGGACATTGCATCATCCTAGAAAACTTGGAGGCCAGTGAGGACAAAAATAAAAAGTTATAAGACTTTTAAGAATGTGGATTTTTGGGTTATCTTTGGCCGCCCCCTAGAACATAAACCGTGGGGTACAGCGTCATGATTTGTACAACTTTTAATGGCCATGGGGTGTAGATTGGCCTGAGCAAATTTGGTGCCGGTGGAACGAAAGCCTTCGGAGGAGTTAGCGAAATTCCAATGTGTGCGGATCGGCAAAAAATGCGAAATAGCCCTTTAACGGTACATTTGACAGATACGCCCGCACTGACTTTTTTGTAGATCTTATTGAGATACACATGTGTGTCAAATTTTGTGTCATTTTGACAAAGCGTACAGGCGTCAGGTGAGTTTTCACCATAGGGGGCGCTATGGAGCCATTTTTCATTTTTTTGTTTGGGCGACTTCAGAATATCAAATTTTTCACCAGGCCCGGTCGTCCTGCCAAATTTCCTGAGTTTTCGCCAGTGGGAAGTGGGCCATTTTCCAGTTTAAAGCGGAGGAAAAATAACGAAAGAAGAATCCATCAGGAACAAGAGGGCTCTCGCAGCTGCTTAGCAGCTACGCTCGGGCCCTAATTACAACAACAATAACAATAACTAGGGCCCCGTTGGGGCACTGGCGGGCCCGAGCTGTGTCGCGCCGCCCCCAACACGACCGCCTCTCCCTCCCGATCGCGTCACACTCAAGGTCCAAAGATGGTGTGCACACTTGTCTGTGGTCATTTACCATTATAATGAATGGGAGGCGCAGTTTCTACCAAAACGCTCGCTGCAGACAAACTACATGTCCTATTTGAAAAAAGTCTGGACCATGAGTGAGGGCACAAACACAGCTAGGATATATCCAAATGGCAAGTTTCTCCTCCTTTCGGTTTTGCCGAGAGAGCGATGTGTTTGAGCCGTTGAGCGATGGGCAGGAAAAACTTGACTTTTTCTCCTGCCATGGGGGGGCACTCTTTTAGGGAGTAAAAATTCCTTCACAAATGTGTTGATGGCTGGACATTGCATCATCCTAGAAAACTTGGAGGCCAGTGAGGACAAAAATAAAAAGTTATAAGACTTTTAAATATGTGGATTTTAGGGTTATCTTTGGCGCCCCCTAGAACCTAAACCGTGGGGTGCAGCGTCATGATTTGTACAACTTTGAATGGCCATGGGGTGTAGATTGGCCTGAGCAAATGTGGAGCCGGTGGAACAAAAGCCTTCGGAGGAGTTAGCGAAATTCCAATGTGTACGGATCGCCAAAAAATGCGAAATAGCCCTTTAACCGTACATTTGACAGATACGCCCGCATTGACTTTTTCGTAGATATTATTGAGATACACCTGTGTGCCAAATTTTGTGTCATTTTGACAAAGTGTAGAGGCGTGACACTCAACAATGTGTATTTTCACCTTAGGGGACAAGAAAAAATGGACTTTTTTCTCCTGCCATGGGGGGGCGCTCTTTTGGGGAGTAAAAATTCCTTCACAAATGTGTTGATGGCTGGACATTGCATCATCCTAGAAAACTTGGAGGCCAGAGAGGACAAAAATAAAAAGTTATAAGACTTTTAAATATGTGGATTTTAGGGTTATCTTTGGCGCCCCCTAGAACCTAAACCGTGGGGTGCAGCGTCATGATTTGAATAACTTTTAATGGCCATGGGGTGTAGATTGGCCTGAGCAAATGTGGTGCCGGTGGAACGAAAGCCTTCGGAGGAGTTAGCGAAATTCCAATGTGTGCGGATCGGCAAAAAATGCGCAATAACCCTTTAACCGTACATTTGACAGATACGCCCGCACTGACTTTTTTGTAGATCTTATTGAGATACATGTGTGTGTCAATTTTTGTGTAATTTTGACAAAGCGTACAGGCGTGACAGTCAATAGTGTGAATTTTCACCTTATGGGACAAGAAAAAATGGACTTTTTTCTCCTGCCATGGGGGGGCGCTCTTTTGGGGAGTAAAAATTCCTTCACAAATGTGTTGATGGCTGGACATTGCATCATCCTAGAAAACTTGGAGGCCAGTGAGGACAAAAATAAAAAGTTATACGACTTTTAAGAATGTGGATTTCTGGGTTATCTTTGGCGCCCCCTAGAACGTAAACCGTGGGATGCAGCGTCATGATTTGTACAACTTTTAATGGCCATGGGGTGTAGATTGGCCTGAGCAAATTTGGTGCCGGTGGAACGAAAGCCTTCGGAGGAGTTAGCGAAATTCCAATGTGTGCGGATCGGCAAAAAATGCGAAATAGCCCTTTAACCGTACATTTGACAGATACGCCCGCACTGACTTTTTTGTAGATCTTATTGAGATACACGTGTGTGTCAAATTTTGTGTCATTTTGACAAAGCGTACAGGCGTGACACTCAATCATGTGAATTTTTCACCTTAGGGGGCGCTATGGAGCCATTTTGCATTTGATTTTTTGGGCGACTTCAGAATATCGAATTTTTCACCAGGCCCGGTCGTCCTGCCAAATTTCATGACTTTTCACCAGTGGGAAGTGGGCCATTTTCCAGTTCAAAGGGGCAGAAAAATAATAAGACTAGGACCCCGGTGGGGCACTGTCGGGCCCGAGCCGCGTTGCGCCGCCCCCAGCGCGACCGCCTCCCCCTCCCGATCGCGTCACACTCAAGGTCCAAAGATGGTGTGCGCACTTGTCTGTGGTCATTTCCCATTATAATGAATGGGAGGCGCAGTTTCTACCAAAACACTCGCTGCAGACAAACTTCATGTCCTATTTGAAAAAAGTCTGGACCATGAGTGAGGGCACAAACACAGCTGGGATATATCCAAATGGCAGGTTGCTCCTCGTTACGGTGTTGCCTGGAGAGCGATGCGATTGAGCCATTGAGCGATGGGCAGGAAAAACTTGACTTTTTCTCCTGCCATGGGGGGGGGGATGTGGATTCTTTTAAGAATGTGGATTTTTTGGTCATCTTTG